CAATTACATTGAAAATCGTGCAAGGAAATTTTGTCTATGGCAAGATTTCAAAATTTTAATTGTTCTTGCCTATTGTATGATCTGATGTCAGTACATTACCCCATACAGGGTACAGCAGGGGTTGCAATTGCTGGTCTCTTAGGAGCTGTAAGGGCACAAGGGAGACCGATGATTGATTTTCCAAAGCAAAAGATTGTTGTTGCTGGTGCAGGAAGGTTAGTCGACTGTCCTACTTTTTGGATCCCCAATAATGCATTCCTGATATTCCCAGACACGAATTCTCTCACACAAAAACCAGAAATAGAAAATGAAAAAGGAGGAAGAAAGTATGCATTCCCAGTGCAGACTGGGGAAGAAATTTTCATCCTCTATCTTCTTAATGCTTGATGTCCACCCAAGGGAGAATTGTTTTGCATAACCATCTGGCTTTTAGACTGATATCTATTTACTTCAACGGTTACATAAGACAATGTCATCTTTCTGGTTAGTCAATTGAAAAGACAGGTTATGCTTCTCAAAGAACTATGCTTTGATAAGGACAAGAGATAATTGGTTTTTATAATTTAGCCATGCGCTAAACTAAGACATCTAAACTGAAGTTGACTGGAATAATCTAAATACTGTTCAATCTTAGCAAGCAATGCAAAGAACTTGAAGACATAATCCGCATAATGGTATCATGCTAGATAAATGAAATTAGATTAGTAGTGTAGCTATCATACGGAACAGCATATTTGCCCTTTTTGGTAAATAGGTGACCAATTTTAATATTTATTTAATGTTGCTTTTGAATTAAATTTGGTATGCTTCCACTTTTTTCAATAGCAGTTATTGCTGGAACTTGTTAATGACACTTGGCACTAGCTTGTGTAAGTCTTGTTGCTTAATCTTTGCACATTGCAGTGCTGGAATAGGGGTACTAAATGCTGCAAGGAAAACAATGGCCCGGATGTTGGGAAATAATGAATCTGCTTTTGAAAGTGCACGGAGTCAGTTCTGGGTAGTTGATGCTCAGGTGAGAATTGCTGATTTAAGATGTATGCATCTTATCTCTAGAGTTCTATTTTCTCTTTCTGATATGCTCAATATTAAAAGTAATGTTTGCATGATTTCCTTCAGTTAATCTTCATTGAGTTCATGACATGTAATTGCTCATTGTATCATCAGACTTATGCGTTTCCGTAATGAAGTTAGAATGTCCTGGAATAGCTGGTATGTCAACAATGGTGCTTAAGGACTGTAGCTTTCTTCACGAAAATGAATCAATCAAAAAGTTCTTCCAAATTTTGTGGACAAACCTACTATTCAGCAAATATAATAATACATCTCAGGACAACTGTAAAAACGTGTTAATAATCACATACATATTAGGAGTTAGATACGTGTTGCTGTTCTCTGCTATCTTATCAAACAAATGTCACCAGTGCCCAATCATTATAAAACCTTAGATATCCTCCTACTGCATATTTTCATGACCACTTTCCCTTAGATATCATTTTTGCGATTGTGTCTATCCAGGGTCTGATCACAGAAGAACGCCCAAATATTGATCCAGAAGCCCTGCCATTTGCAAGGAAGGTCAAAGAAGCTAGTCGTCAAGGATTAAGGGAGGGTGCAAGTCTTGTAGAAGTGGTTCGTAGAACTTACACCCTTGATATTAAAATTGTTTTATAAGAATGTTTTGTTGTATCTATATTTCTACTACGCATAGAAAAGGCTACCTTGATTGTTGTTTTTGGGCAAAGGTACCCACAATTAATCGTTTGTACTAATCTGATCTAATTTATTCTAATCAGGTGCGGGAAGTGAAGCCTGATGTGCTTCTTGGATTATCTGCAGTTGGGGGATTGTTCTCAAAAGAGGTATAGAATGGACGATTAAAATCTACTGATATTTCAATCAAACTTCTGTTATAGGTGCTATATAAAAAGCATCATGAATTATTTCTTGTGCAAACATGATATTTTCGTATACTGATGTTAGGTACTAGAAGCGCTCAAAGGTTCAACTTCAACTAGACCAGCAGTCTTTGCCATGTCAAACCCTACAAAAAATGGTATGGTATTTTTTTTTGTAGTTTCCTTTGCTTTTGGTAAGTAAGAATGCCTGGTTAATTCATGAACTCTGACACAAAAGTGTTATTCTCTCTATTCTCTCTCTCTCTCTCTCTCTCTCTCTCTCTCTGTGCTGACAGCTGAATGCACTCCTGAAGAAGCATTTTCCATTTTGGGTGACAATATTATTTTTGCAAGTGGAAGTCCATTCAAAGATGTGGATCTTGGTACATATTTTGGTTTAAATGTCTTGATTTGAGCTATGGTTATTCTTCAAATATATGAAGTGTTTTTGCTATCTTGCTTGACCTGCTGTCTGATAGAATCTTTAACTCTATTTCAACTTCAGATGGATAGTAGCATAGTAGTTTACTTCAGAGTACTCTTGTAATGGGAGATCCTTATCTACTTTTCAATGTCACAGGAAATGGTCATGTCGGTCACTGTAACCAGGGAAACAACATGTATCTCTTTCCAGGGTTCGTTTCTTCAGTTAAATATCACCAGCAACATGTAACATAGGCATGTGCATTTCATTTTCCCCCTGCAGTTATTCATCTACTTGTACTTGCGTCCATGCAGTATTGGGCTTGGGACTCTCCTCTCTGGTTCTAGAATCATCTCTGATGGCATGCTACAGGCTGCTGCTGAATGGTATTTCTCATGTGTTCTTTCTTAAGTAGCTTGTATATTTTAAACACCAAATTCTGAAAGAACCATTTCTGAATATAAACGATTAAGAAAATTCCAGAAAAACTCTATCTTGTGGCATTTGTAATTGTGAAAATTTAGCGAGACTTTATGGTGGCCAGGAATTTGAATTGGGAATGAGTTTGTGATGGTTTGGAACAGTCCCTAAATCAAAGCTTTGGCCACTATCTAATGGTTCAAAGATTATTATGATTGTGCAAGTATTATTTTGCTTCAGTCATCAATATCAATTCATTTGATCTCAAACTGAAAATGACAGCCTAGCAGCATATATGACAGAAGAGGAGGTTCTTCAAGGGGTCATCTACCCTTCAACATCGAGGTACAGACCAGTCTTTGGCTCAACCCTACGCTTTAGTGACTGAGGGGTTTGAATGGCTTTGTAATCTACAGGAATTATGCATGTCTCTGACCTCATGTATGTTTGTAGAATCCGGGATATAACAAAGCAGGTAGCTGCAGCTGTGATCAAGGAGGCCATAGAAGAGGATCTTGCAGAAGGATACCGTGAGATGGATGCTCGAGAGCTTCGGAAACTTAATGAGGTGCATATACTTTCATTCAAAAATGTTTAGAAAATGGAATTGGTAGGTACTTCCAATTGAAGTGGGACCTTCTAATTCAAACCTTATAGATGGAAGGTTATTTATGGCAGTTCATGTTACCATATGAAGTATTTTATACCTGAACCAATAAAAGCCAAAATCCTGAGGTCTCAAGTTCCTGCTTGCTTCCTAAGACTTGCAAAAACACGCACAAAACTGAGAAAAAAAATTATGAACTTAGAATTTGGTTATCGGTTTCTGAATTGATTATTGTCTTCCTTTGTATATATTTGGGTGTTACTGAGTAGCTTCTCCATTCCACTCTTTTATACTGAACACACTGAACCCAAATAATATTTGAACTAGCAGCTATTTCATCATTGATTTAAGTGGTTTGATGATTTGGACTTCACGAAGTTCATAATTGCTCTCTCTTTCTAATGAGAGTTATTGAAAATGCTAAGTGTGAGAACATCTGATATGCAGAATGATCTGGTAGATTATGTGAACAACAACATGTGGAGTCCAGATTACCCAACGTTGGTCTATAAGAAGGCCTGACCATCATCAGAATCGAGGTTCCGAAATATGTAGTTATTACTTTTAATTTACAACACATTAATAGCATTGTTGTATGCATCCATCAGTTTGTGTATTTCAAGTTTCTATATTCTTTGTCTGTGCCTGCAGATATGAAATGTGTATAAGTAAAAATTTCAAAAATTTATACATAATTTAGCATCTCAATTGGTGGGTTCTAGCTGTGTATATAGTTTTACCTTCATCTTCCTAACAATTCAATTTTAGGGAGTTCATTTGCTACTCAGAGGCCTCAGATCTGGTATTCAAATTCTATGAAAGCTTCCATTAATTATCAACTTGTAATTGGTTGACAGGACAAACCATTACTGTCACTGCTTTAAAGTTTCTCGCCATTGCTTAAGGCGACTTTTCTTTTTTCGGTCCCAGATAAAGGTTATCCAGGATTGCCAACCTTGTCAGGATAACGGCAGAATTGCTGTTCTGGGGAAATAAGACCGTTACAGAATTTTTCCCGTTTTCCTTGTCATTTTGGTCTGTGTCCTATGATTGATGAGTAGGTTTTATTTTGTTTCAAGGGGTTGATTTCTTTCCCTGGAGCCTCCTTTGTTGAGTATAATTAAATTGCTTGAGATTCGAGAAATAGAATTTGGTTATCATTATGGCTGGATCTTAAAATATCGTTTGGAGCTTTGAAACCTTAAGTTTGCCAAGCTGCATCTCAGTTCCCGAGTACATGCAATTGAAGGTTAAGTTTTGTTCTTTAAAAATAAAAATTTCGTTTAAGTTCAGTTTGTTGACAAAAAGTCAAATTTTATAATCTCAATGAAAGATCGAGCTTCTTTCTCTTTCCTTGTATATATGTATTGAAAACCAATACCAGAATATTTAAAAGTTGATGATCTGATCAAGCGCAGTCCAATTTAGGCCACTGTGAATTGTGAATGAAACGTCTGCCAGCATATAATTTGGTTATATAAGATTAACAACCGGCATTGTCTAAACCAAAACTAAAATTGGAATTGGATCCTAATCCTTGTAAGAAAACGGCAACAATGAAATGGGTCCACCTTTTTGAACATTCAAAATTCAAAAATTCAAACGCGTGACTGTAAAAATAATAAATAAATAAATTAAACAGTAAAGCCTATGTGTTACTTTGCCTACCGTGCCTAACGTTGCTCTAGAGCAGGCAAGCCAAAAAAAGCCAACTAGAAATTACTAATATCCTTCGCACTCATTTCATATCCGTATTCATAGCGTCCAATTCAAGTCAAACTGTGCCACCTGCGTCTTCTTCTTGGCTGCTCTTTCTCGAATTTTCCTTTTCTTGCTTTCATCTTTTAGTGTTGCAAAGTTATTTGAAAAGTTTAGCAGATCTTAGGGTTTTTTTCCTGTTGAAAACGATGACGACCATGGAGAGCTTGATAGGTTTGGTGAACAGGATACAGAGAGCTTGTACTGCGCTTGGAGATTATGGAGGTGGGGATAATACTTTCTCTTCTCTTTGGGAAGCTCTTCCCTCTGTTGCTGTCGTTGGTGGGCAGGTTCTCTTCTTTCTCTCTATTTCTTATTTTTCTTATCAATTAAAGAACCACTTAACTATTTGATTCAGAAATCAAAACTCTCGACGAAGTCATTTTTCCACTAAGATTTACTTAAATCATATTCGGGAACTGTCAAAGCGAGATAGATACTTTGATGATAAATAAAGAGAGAAAACGAGACTATATTGTTTTCCATTTTGGCTAATTTGCTAAATTTATTTGGAACTCGATGTGAGAGCAGAGTTCAGGAAAATCTTCTGTCTTGGAGAGCATAGTAGGTCGAGACTTTCTTCCCAGAGGATCGGGTATGTGCCTTTGCCTTTTTCTCCCCCCTTTTTCCTTTAATCAAGGTGGAGCAGGGGTGAAATTGAGGTGTTTTGTAATGATTCTTGCAGGCATTGTGACGAGGAGACCTTTGGTATTGCAGCTTCATAAGACTGAGGAAGGAGCGCAGGAGTATGCGGAGTTCCTCCATCTTCCAAAGAGACGGTTCACTGATTTTTGTAAGTGTGTAATGTATATATGTATAACTGACCTTTGAATTCTCATTATTTCTTGCTCATTATATTTTATTAGTATTATTTGCTTTTTGTCAAAAATGCCTATTTCTCCTTTTTTTTTTTTTTTTTCTCATGTTCCTTTTTTTTTTTTTTTTATATGTCACTTTCATGTTAAATGAAGTTATGGTTTAATTCCCTGTCTGCAGCCATGGTTCGCAAGGAAATTCAGGATGAAACTGATAGAATGACAGGGAAAACGAAACAGATTTCTCCTGTTCCTATTCATCTTAGCATCTATTCTCCTAATGGTGGGTAATTACTGTTTTGTTCTTTTATGCTTCTCAAATTTTACATTCATCCTCAGGATTCAACTCCAAGTCTCCAATTAATTGTTGCCATGGAATTTTTTGTTGTTCATTACTTTGCAGATAGTTGCATATCTTTTTTCGTCTTTGGCACAAGATGAAAAAAATACTAACTGTTTTTCTTGGTTTGTTTCGTTGTGCAGTTGTCAACTTAACCCTGATTGATTTACCTGGTTTAACAAAAGTCGCTGTTGGTATATTTTACTTGGTTCCTCATTCTGAATTTACCTTGCATAAATGTTTATTTATTTCAATCCTAAAAGGAATGCATTGTTTTCCTCAGAGGGACAGCCTGAGAGTATTGTTCAGGACATTGAAGCCATGGTCCGTTCTTATGTTGAAAAGGTAAGACATATTTTTTCGCTTGTTTGTGAAAAAGCTATTGTGGTTCTCCACGGTGTATGCTCAAGTTGTTGGATTCTTTCCAATGATACTGCAGTATGGATTGTGTTTTCCTTAGCATTGGGGATAATCTTGTTATCACAAAAGTACACAATGAATCTTAACCCCAAATCTCATTCCCTCTCTTTATCTCTCTCTCTCTCTCTCTCTCTCTCTCTCACTGGTGAACTATGGAAGAGCTGGTGTTCTTCTGAAAAAAAAGAAAAAAAAAAAAGCTTGTGCAAAAATTTGTTGAATCATGTTTTAGATTTGGTGGTGCGATTGTCTGTTTCAATGCTTGAATTGTGATGGGAATATATCAGATGCAGGATCTTTTTTATGTGTTGCTCTGCTTCTGTGTTGCATGCTATGTATATTCTGATTTACATCCACTCTACTACAGCCAAATTGTATCATACTTGCAATATCTCCAGCCAATCAAGATATAGCGACATCTGATGCTATCAAGCTTTCCAGGGAAGTGGATCCCTCAGGTATGCACCATTTTCTTTTGTTTTGTATGCTGGTTATACATCGTTGAGAACATTTTGTTGCTCTAGTTAATTGTTCCCTTGTAAATTCTAATATGTAACTTCTTCAGGTGAACGGACATTTGGAGTACTGACAAAGCTGGATCTGATGGACAAAGGAACTAATGCATTGGATGTAAGCTTTCACAATCTCTTCCCCCTTGATGTATTTAATTTTCAATACAATTGCTATCTATAAGCATGGACAAAAAATCTTGATTTATTTTCTTGCTTAAGGTTCTTGAGGGAAGATCTTATAGGCTGCAACATCCTTGGGTTGGGATTGTTAACCGCTCACAGGCAGATATTAACAAAAATGTAGATATGATTATTGCAAGGCGAAAGGAGCGTGAATATTTTGCCACCAGTCCTGATTATGGGCATTTAGCAAATAAAATGGGTTCAGAATATCTTGCAAAACTTCTCTCGAAGGTTTGTAATTTAATATGCTTCATTTTGAGATGGGATTTAAAATATGGGAAAGAGAGAGAGAGAGAGAGAGAGAGAGAGAGATAGTATGTGATTCTGATGATGATCTGTGTTTCAGCACTTGGAGTCTGTAATTAGGTCTCGAATACCAAGCATCACATCCTTGATAAACAAAAGCATTGAAGAACTTGAATCGGAGATGGACCATCTTGGTAGGCCTGTAGCTGTTGATGCTGGGGTGGGTAGCTTATTTCGTTTTCTATCATTGCTTGCAAATACTCCTCTTTCTATTAGTGCTGACTGATATTTTATTTTAGGCACAATTGTACACTATCTTGGAACTTTGCCGTGCATTTGACAAGATATTCAAGGAGCATCTGGATGGAGGGTAAGCATTATTGATTTCTTTTCAGTTGGCATGAGGAAGGAACCCTAACTCCACCCCCAACCCCACAAAAAAAAAAAAAAAATCTTTCATTAAATTCCAACCCCAAAAAAAAAAAAAAAAAATCTGTATTCATTAAATTTAAATCACAGAGGTTATTTTCCATCTTCAAACGTGGTTAAGATATCGCTTTATATTTTCTGCAGCAAATAACATAATATTCTAATGATGCTTGACTTTTTATCCTAGGCGACCTGGAGGAGATCGAATTTATGGAGTCTTTGACAATCAACTCCCCGCTGCTCTAAGAAAGCTTCCATTTGATCGGCATCTCTCTCTACAAAATGTGAGGAGAGTGGTCTCAGAGGCAGATGGTTATCAGCCACATCTCATTGCCCCAGAGCAAGGTTACAGGCGTCTTATCGATGGAGCTTTGAATTATTTCAGGGGCCCAGCTGAAGCTTCTGTAGATGCTGTAAGTAGTCCGATTTTGTTTTAAGTTTACATACTGTCATGTTCATCTAAAGTTTTTCTTTGACCTATTTCAATGTTGTTAATATCTAGATGGAAAAGTTCAGCCCATCTTTTTTAACTGAGTTTGACATTGCAATTTAGGTCCACTTTGTCTTAAAAGAGCTTGTGAGAAAGTCAATAGGGGAAACACAGGTAAAGTTTGGGATTTTACATTTTTTTTTTCTTTTTTCCCCCCTTGAGACAGTGGATGTTAGAGATTTGGTTTTAATTGTAAACAAAACAGGAATTGAAGCGATTTCCTACTCTGCAAGCTGAGATAGCTGCTGCATCAAATGAGGCCTTGGAGAAGTTTCGTGAGGATAGTAAAAAAACCGTTATTAGATTGGTGGACATGGAATCTTCGTATCTGACAGTTGAGTTCTTTCGGAGGCTTCCTCAGGAAGTGGAGAAAGCAGGAAATCCAGGAGGGACTCAAGCATCCCCGAATGTGGACAGATATACAGAGGGACACTTCAGGAGGATTGGTTCAAACGTGTCCTCTTATATAGGCATGGTGTCTGAAACACTGAAGAATACGATTCCAAAGGCAGTGGTTTATTGCCAAGTTAGGGAGGCCAAACAATCATTGCTAAATTACTTCTATACACAAATAGGAAAGAAAGAGGTAAATTGTAGAGTCAATTGTTTCAGATGTTCTTTAAATAGATCGATTCATCTGGGTTTCCGGAAAAATGTGATTAATATTTGTTAAATGTTAATTGTTACAGGGCAAGCAGCTTTCACAATTGTTGGATGAAGACCCAGCCTTGATGGAAAGAAGACAACAGTGTGCGAAAAGGCTTGAATTGTACAAGGCAGCAAGGGACGAGATCGATTCCGTATCATGGGCTCGATGATTCGGCTTCTATCATTTTTATAGCTAAACTCCGATCCGGAGTCTTGATGGTTGAGATTCTTTTTTTTGTTTTTCTTCTTCTTGTATCATATATTTGCCTTGTCGTCGTTGTTTTAATTCGTTGCGATCTTGGTTGATCGCCGGACTTTAGTTGTGTTGGTGGTCTTCACACGGAACAGGCTTGTATAATATTATTTACATCCACCGATAGTTTTTATTTATTATTATTATTATTATTGTTGTTTTTTAGGTTCTCTCTTGTCAAGCCAGTGTATCGTGCAATCTTTGAATGATACGGTGCCATGCCCGAATCCATCAATAGCCATTAGCCACATTTCCCACTTATGTAGAGAAACTTTTATTTTGAGCTGACATATTTAATTAAAAAAGTGATAATATTAATTTTATAGTAGTACTGTTAGCATATAAAATATTATTAATAAATTTCAGTTGTGGGGAAAGTTTGAAGTTCGGGTTCCGCCCAATCTGCTGCTAACAGTAACAGCCTCCTGCTCGAGGGTTTTAAACTTTGGGCTTTAAGCCCACCTCTTCACCCGAATACTGATACAAATAAAATATTCTTGGAACTAGGAATTACACAATCAACGCCATAAACCCCAACGGTTTGCACCTCCCGCTGAGAGAGAGAGAGAGAGAGAGAGAGAGAGGAATGACTGGAGCATCAAGTGTATTGCAGCTATGGCAGATTACTTCTACCAAATATCTACTTAGGAGCTCTAAATTTTCTCAAGGTTCTCTCTACTTTTGACGCGCTTATTTCAAAGTTTACTCCCCATTTTTCCTTCGATTTTTCTTTTCCTTATAAATCTGCCTTTTGATACAGTTATCTTCTTCAAGCTTGCCCTTTTTCTTCTTTGTATTATTTCAATACCTACTTGTCGTTTTAAAATTAAAATATAGATTTCAAATAAATTTGTGAGTTAGCCTGCGTGGTTCTTCTCGTTTCTTTAGCTTGATTATTGACTAATAAACTTCCCAAAATTCAGGTGTCTGTGTAAAAGCAGGAATAACAAAACATCCAATCTCATGCGTTTACAGACATATGCAGACTGTCACATATGAGGTTGTAAACGCAAGCTATGTACCCACTCCCCAAGCTAAACAACAACAGAACGAAACCATGGTACTTGTTCCTTCTGAACTTTGTATTTACTGTTACAAAATGAATAGCTAAAAAAGGAAGAATTGTCGGATGCATCTAAATCTGTTTAGAAAATGAGAGATGGTGTAGACAGAGTGAATATGCCTTTGGAAAGTGAGGTTCTTTAGTATTTGACAATGGAAACGAGATGAAGGGATAAGTAGAAGTGCGATTTCGGGCTAGGTTTAATTGAATTTATTTAGAAGGTCTAGTTTGAGAAATTCTTCAAAGAGGAAGGGATATTTTGATCTGTTAAAAGCATGGAATTTCTGAAAGCTGTTGGAATGTTACTAAGGGCTTTATAATTGTAGGCAATAGAGTTTCATGTCAATGCTGCTTTGAAAAGAGCGAAATGAGTCCATTTTGTCCACCCATTACGGTTGGGAATCCAAAATATATTAGTTAGTCATTTAAGTGAATATACTGTGAATACATTAGGAAGGACTCAAAGAAATTTCCATGGAGTTGATATGCTCTGAATTACTTGTTGGTAGGGAACATGCTGATTCTCTACTAATCTCTTGATCTAAGATTTTCTGTTTTCATTTTTTGGCTGCTAATAATTGAAGATTTGAGAGTTTCTTAATTCTTGTCATATTTGGTGGAATTGTCACATTTACGAAATTTTTTAGTTAGGAGAAACAATAATAATGCATCTTGCATTCTAAAAAGAAAAAAAAGGAGGAATAATAGAATAATGCATCCTGTTAGTCCTTTATTAGTCCATCTTTATGATAGATTCTGAGTTACTATTGATGGAAGCTTACCATCTTTATATGGTGTAATTAAAAGATTATTTCCCTTCTTGTTTATTAATAATTATGCATATTACTATGTTCTATTTCTAATAATAAAAGAACTTTATGCTGTGCAAATGGATAGGAAAAAGCCCCAGTAAAACTTGAAACTGTTGGGGCATTTCAAAAGCTACCTATGGTGATGCCATCAGTTGACATATTTTATTCAGCACTGAGGAAGGCCAAAAGGGTCCCACCTACAAAAGGTGATTTCTGAGAGTTCAAGTCTTATTCCCTCTTGAAACAATGAATTTACTTTGGCTTCTGTGACCAATTTTTGATTATGATATTTATTCATCTCTTTCATAGGCATTGCTAACATTGCCAAGCGAGAAAGAAATAAAGGTGCTAAGCAACTTGATGCACTGATGAAAGTGAGTTCCCTTTTTTTTTTTTTTTATTAATACTATTATCTTAAAATAAAAACCAACATCTGTCATTTGCAATTGCAAAAGGCTGACATCTTAAGCTATTGTTTCACTTTCCAGCAATTGGCAGTTCCTTTAAGAGAGTATTTGGATAACTTCCCTAAAAGAAAATATTTACATCCTTATGAACGGTCACTTATCGAGTTGACCCTCGGAGAAGGAAATTATGAAGAGGTAAGTAATGTGGAACTCAATGCTGATGTTATTTGAGGATTCTTGTGATCTTTGCCAATAGACTATTCCTTAAAGCATCCGTTGTCTTTTGATTCTTCTGTGTACAAATACTAGTCGAACTACCAATTAAAATTTTGAGTGCAGTTTTACATCAGAAATGAGTATATATATCTCTCTTCCAGAGACTCAATATATCATCACATACTGACTTCTCCTTATCATCCTTCCACTGGATCTGAAGTGGCAGGTCACTTCTCATCAAGGTGGTGCTTTATTTTATTAGTCTAGTAGTTCTTTTAAATTGCTCTCGGAGAAGTGTAAGACTTTTTTTTTTTTTGGCCCGCACTGCGCCGGGGGGTGGGGGATGGATTTTTTTTTTTTCTACTAAATTCTGTACATTTGTGTTTCGCAATTTAAGATTCAGATAAGGTTTGACAGGTGCTGAGAAATGTAGATGCTCTGAGGAAGAAGGTGGTGTCTGTTGGAAAAGAACATGCTTCTGTCTGTGCAAAGGTTGGTTTTCCTTGAATGCTGAGATTGTATACTCCCTCTATTGACTCATGTTGCTTAACCGTTTGAATCTTGTGGTGCTAATTGTTACTGAGATGCTACCAATTGCTTGGTTTTGCTTTTGGAAGACCTATAAACAAAGCTCTGTCCTTGGAGCGCTTTACTTGAGTTTCTTGCAACTCTTGTTACTTTCTCAGGGTGAATCTTGCATATCTTGTTAGATATGTGGGTAATATCCTTTCACGTTTGTCTTGCTTTCTTAAATGCTAGTAAATAGTCCTTACTGCCTGAATGGACGGAACACCAAAGCAAATAGTTCCACACAAGGAAACTAGGAAGCAAAATATTTAGCAATATAGAAGGAAATGGCATCAAGGTGATTCAAATTGTCCAGTGCTGCCTCAACAAGCTGATTATTACTATATATGTATACTTCATATGCAAGTTGTCATAAAACCAAAACAAAGAGTTGTTGATTTCTTGTTTATGACTTTATGTTCATAAAGGTTTCTCATATGTTGCTTGTTATTTGGTCGTGTTATGTTTGATTAATCAAATTATGTTATAATATTCCTACAATTTGATTTTGACTATTGTTGTTGCAATTCAGAGTGTGTGAAGGTTAACAAATTATTACATTTTGCATTGCTTTCTAATCTTCAGAAAGCATGTTTTTTATTATAACTAACAGGGTATACAATTGTTGGCAGTCTTCAACAAAACGAGAGGCTGAGGAACGTTTAAATGAGGTCAGTTATTATCTGCTTGCTACACACATCTAGGAGCGTCTGTGACAACAAAGTCTTTTAATTCCTATAGGGTCTGGAAAAGCTTCAAGAAATTTTTAAACGTGAAGGAAAGGCAGTTGATGAATTATTAAATATTGCCAAGGTATTTTTCCTTTTACACAAATGTATATTTATGCTCTAGATTTTTTTTTCTTTTTATTTATTCTTTTGATAATTATTTATGGTTGTTTTCATGAGCTAATGTTTGGGTGGAATATGTTGAAGGTCAAATATGTCCAAAGGGTAGGATGAATTACTCTAGGAAAATATTTCCAATAATAACTTAGGTCAGAAGGCAAGAATTTAAATATATTCACAAAACTTTATAACATGGTTTTTTTTGAAAATTATTATTTTTTTGCTGGTGTCATTCCAGTGTTAATGTAAAGGGACTCTTGTCCAGCTCACCTTTCCATTGGCATGTTTTTCCAGAAATTTTTTATTCTTCTTTTATAAGCAACATTTTCTGATAATTATGGTTATTGCTCCTAGACGTTTGCCACCTTCTTCCTTGTTCGAACTGTATGTTGCACCTGTTATGTTGTTCCAATTGTTGGTGTCTATTCTGGATATGATTCATAAACTGATTGTGTTACAATTATAGTATGTAATCAGCCAACTTTGATACATTATATGGCTTGCAGACTTTGCGGGCGATGCCAGTGGTTGATTTGGAAACACCAACTCTTTGTCTTGTTGGAGCTCCTAATGTTGGAAAGTCATCCTTGGTCCGTATACTTTCAACAGGGAAGCCTGAGGTGTGCACGGATGTCTAGTGACTAGGATTTGTTCGTACAGTTTTGGATGTAAATCCGAAAATTGAATATTGATAATTTTGAAAGGATATTGATTACCCTATTTGGTTGGGGTTCTTGCTTAAATGAATATTCTTAATGTTATCTATCTCTGCCTTCTGTGCAAACTAACAATTGTAAGCATCCACAATTATTTTCTCGACCCAATAATTATGGTTAAAGGCATAAGAGTTAAAAAGTTTTGAGTTTCATATATTGTTTTTGTTTTTGATATTTTCAGCGACACATTTGAAGATGATGTTATGCATATTCCATTCAAATGAGCTGTGAATAGAGTTATCTGATTTGAGTTCTTTTTTCTTGCTTTAATACTGAACCTTTCTCCTATCTTATCTCTTTCAACGTTTGGAATCAGGTTTGCAATTACCCTTTCACAACTAGAGGAATTTTAATGGGCCATATTTCTTTTGACTTCAAGTATTTTCAGGTTAACCTATGTCCCTCCCTTAGTCTGTGTGTATGTGGCTTTTCTTTTTTTATTTATTTTTTGAAAAGATTGTCAATTGATGGCCATCAGTTTCTAATTTGTTCATACGTACTTAAACTAACTGCAGGTGACAGACACCCCTGGATTACTGAAGAGATGTGATGGTAATGCACTAGGCAATATTTATGGCTTGCTGCTGTTTCCAAACTACAAGAGCATCTCTCTCTCTCTCTCTCTCTCTCTCTCTCGTTCACACCTTTTTGCTGTGAAATAAAATGAGAGAAAAGAGGGGTGAGGTTTGTGGGCATAGTATCAAGATATTTCTCCAAGGATTTTATATAGTGACAAAAACTTGTTATGCAGTTGACCAGTATTTTGTGCGTGTGTCTGCTTAGTTTTATTTATTTATTTATTTATTTTTGAATCTCTTGTGGACCTTCAGAGGAGAGGAACAATTTGGAAAAGTTAACACTTGCTGTCCTCAGACATTTGCCAACAGCAATACTCTATGTCCATGATCTCACTGGAGAATGTGGGACCCCAGTTTCTGATCAGGTATCAAATGATAAGTGTAGATTTGACTTTTTAATTTAACCGAGGGACTTCCAATTGTAAGACAAGAGAAATGGAAAGACTTTTTGTGCAATCCGCATGAGGGGTGAATATTTGGCCTTACTAATGATTTTCTTTCTACTTTTTACTAGCTATGCCAACATTTAGTGGAAAATGAATTGGTTATACAATTTTATCTCTCTGTAGATGGAGTTATCTTCATTTATCATTGGTTATTGGATTTGCAGTTTGAGATATACAAAGAAATTAAAGAGAGATTCAGCAATCATCTTTGGCTTGATGTTGTCTCTAAATGTGACCTCTTGCAAGAGTTGCCTGTTATCTTCATTGCAGAAGATAGCAATGGTGGTCATTTTGAAATGGCCCGGTACAGTAAAATTGGACCCAGTGGGGCAATCCATGTGTCAGCAAAAAGCAGAGAAGGGCTTGATGAGGTAATTTATTCCATTTTGACATTTGCTGGCACTTTTGACCATCCAGTCATCCACTTCGTGATTTTGGATCGTCTAGCACATGTTGGAATTAGATTTTCTTGGTCTAACGTAGGTATTAGTTATAGGACTGAAAACTGAATGGCCCATCATTTGCAGGGCATTACTCATTAAGAATATGGATGGTGACTGCACTTTGATGTGGAGAAATTGCTGAAACATAAAATAAATGAACTACAATAATGCCTTCTGATCCAATCTAATCAAGATCTATACCTTGAGCATATGCATTCTGGGGTTTTACTTAGGTTTCCTAATTATTATTTCAGAATTCATTATGATTTGTGCAGCAAAGGTGGATTTGGAATTTCCAGATCTATCTGAAATTGTTGTTGTGGCATGTTCAAATATAATATAGTATTCCTATAAAATTGAATTTGTGGTGTTCCTACTATATCAATTCATGTTGAAATTCATGTCAGTAGACCCCCCCATCCCATGATTATTTTGCAACTGAGGCCTGATGTAAATGTCATCTGCAGCTAAAAGCTAAAGTGCATGATCTACTGGTTGCCCAAATGGAGAGGATCAGAGGTATGCAGATGAAAGAAGCTAATCCTTAATTTTGTACGTGATGGACCACTATTTGTTGGCATCATCATGGCATATGTTATTGTCTCTGGAGGATAAGAAGCAGGTCAAGTTGGCCTTTCTGCGTCCTTCACGATTTCTCAAAATTTGATGGAGCCACGTTTTCTGCAATGCCTATGGAGTTACACCAGAGCCAACAAAAATCATGCCACACTTTTGTTGCTCATTGTGAAAAAGAATGTGCCTTGTTGACCTGCTGAAAGCATTCGTGAAAGAATGATTAGTTGGTAATGGGGTCATTTAGAGCTCTCAAACCGCATCTAGAAGCCGCCCTAAAGATTTCTTTATGAAAATATATATTCCCGATTCCCACAAGCACCTTGTCCAGTGGGTGGGTTTGTCATTTTTCAGCAGCAAGCATGAGAAGATTCATTTGGTTGATGTCAATATCAGATATTATTATTATTATTATTATTATTATTATTATCATTATTAAGTTGGAACATGTTTTGAAATCAAAGAGGAGCAGGATATGTAACTAGTTGGGGAAATCAGAAGGATTGAAGACTGATTTCTCATCACAGTTTGTTTCCCGAAAAACCTGAAAACATCTAAAGCAATAAAGCCCCGGTGAAAAGATAGCCAACTTGTATAAAGCATTGAATTCTGATAGTGGTTCCTTTTGGTGTGTTGGCAGTTTTGCAGCAGCATCCCTTGTGCCTGAAGCTGAGAGTGAGAGCATATTCCACCACAAAATAATTCATGGCTGCACCATTTCGAATAATGGTGGTGATAGATACTGAAGTTTCTGCATCGATAGCATATGACTTGTAAAACTCTTATTCTCCTTTTTAACACATTTTCTATGATTTAAATTAATAAATTAATTAATATTGCATTTATTTATTCAATGAAAAGTTTGAGCAATCATGAATTTTGTAGGCAAATGTTTTTTGTTTTTTTTAAAACCTAATGGAGAAAGAAAATACTAGTACGAAATAAATATCCTTGAGAAATTAGAATTGGATCTCACTCCTTGCACCCAACCAAAGCCCATTAACTTACGAATTAAGATTCGCTCCCATCGTGGCCGGGCTATGGCCGTTCCAATTACGCAAAGTGCAAGCTACAAAATTCCAATTTTATCCCTATCGACCGCAACTGCTATGCAAATGCAATGCAAGAGCAAGAGCAAGAGCATGCGCTGGTTGATTCAAAAACGTCTGCCTCTATTTAAGCAGTCTGCAATCCGCACATCTCCTCCCATTTCTCTAACATTAGTATCTTATTTTTTCCCTCCACACCACCCCCGCTAAAGGTAAGCCTCTGGATCTACATTCGCCTCCTCCATATTTGATTTGTTTTCTTTTTTTCTGCTGATTTAGGTTCATCCTTTTCATGTTTATAGATCTTTGCGCTCTTTTTCATATACGCTCGTTTTCTTCCTTTTTTTATTCATTCATTTTTCATTTTCAGCTGAATCTGCTTTTATCTGATCCACCAAAAACTAGCCTAGAAAACGGAGGGAAAACCTTCACTTGAATTGAAAATCGAGATCTGATCAAATGCATTTCGTCTTTTAAATTATCATCATAGCTAAAACAAATTATTTCTGTAATTCTTTTTCCTGGATCTGATTATTCTTCAGAAGTCGTTCAACTCAGCTTCCCCATATGCCCGAGCTCTGTTGGTGTAGTTCAGCTGATTAGTGATATCGAGCATTACGACTGGATCTGCTGAGAATTGAATAGAAAATTTCTTTTAGATCAAACCATTTCGTACTTTCATTGCATTGATTCAAAATCTTGGGTTTACCTGACATTTAGAGAGGCTGTATAGGATCAAACACGCAAATCATGCAGATCTCTCGTGCTTCTTCAGGAAATGATACGTGCTTCTCCTTTGTCCATTTGACAATGCGTTGGCTTCATTTGTAAAATTAAGTTGCGACTTTATGCTTGCTATAACAGTTGATTGATTTTGTCATTTCTAGTAAAGCCACTTGAAATAATGGATTAATGCTTGATTTCAGATCTTTTGCACAGAATTCAATTATTTTATTCGTGACATAGAACTCAATTCCTGACATTTTATGCTGTTGGTATTTCAGATAATACTTGAAAACTCTAGTTAATTGATACTCATGGGAACTTCTATTGAAGCTGCCACAAAGGTAAACTCTTTGATGGAACTTAGGGGGGGATATCACAATTTCTGTTCTCAATTATATACTCCTTAATTTTATAGAACGTTGACATTTTTGTATCAAGTCGAGGTAACTAAGTAAATTACAACATAAGTTCCTCTGGTACTACCTTAAAAATCAAAATTTTCTGTTGCACGCAAGTACATAAGAGAATAAAAGGGAAAGAAAAGAAGGGAAATAAGTGGGGAAATGAATCCAATCATGAACAAGAGGAACAAAAAGGAAAAAGAAGAATATAAGGGAAATAATTTGACATGCTCCATTTCTGATAATTATTAATTAAAGAAACAAAATGGATTGAATTCTCTGTTATGGTGATCTATTTTTTATTGATAAAATGATGTTTTATATTAATTATCTCAGGAGCAAAATGGGAATGTAACTGAGAAGAAGCCTACAGTTGTTTTTGTTTTGGGTGAGCATCTTGTTTTAAGCCTTTAGTTAACTTTTAGTGGGAGTCTTTGTCTAGGTTTGCGCTTCAGTTCTCATACTATATATATATATGGTTTGAAATTATGTCATATAAATTGTGGTATTTCTTCAATCCATCTGCTTAAAAGGTTTATCAATTACAATTATATCAGTATACAAATGTTGTTACATTATTCATAAGGGCATTTGTATTGGCTTTTGGCACTAAATGTATTTACATCATGCATTATTTACTTCTGTGAACAGTAACACTGATGATTAGATACCTCAATTCTTGCACTTCACTATAAGATACCTTTGTAACGCCGTTCAGTTTATCATGATTGATCAGGTGGCCCAGGCAGTGGAAAGGGTACACAGTGCGCAAATATTGTTCAGCACTTTGGTTATACTCACCTTAGTGCTGGAGATCTTCTTCGAGCAGAAATCAAATCTGGATCTGAAAATGGGTATGTCACATATGCATGTTGGACTTTCTGTGATGCAAATCTTTTTGCTCAAATAATAACAATCTGTTCCTTGTGAGCTACAGAACCATGATTCAAAACATGATTAAGGAGGGGAAGATTGTGCCCTCAGAGGTAACAATAAAGCTTCTTCAAAAAGCAATGCGGGAAAGTGGCAATGACAAATTTTTGATTGATGGTTTTCCTCGCAATGAGGAAAACCGTGCAGCATTTGAATCTGTTGTAAGCTGTCCGTAAAAATCTGTGGTTTAATTAGTTCCTTTTTTTTGGATATCTTTAGTGAATTGATTTAATATTATAAAAAAAACAAAAAAAAAAAACAAAGAATTCATTATTATCTGTTCAGACGGTTTTGTTGATTGCTAAAAGTATGGTTGTTATGCAGACCAAAATTGAGCCAGAATTTGTCTTATTCTTTGACTGTTCTGAAGAAGAGATGGAGAGACGCCTTTTAAGTAGGAACCAGGTTTGACAAATGAGACTGCTCCATATGTGTGCATGTGTACATGCATGCTTATGCATGCGATTAAGAGTTTATCTTTCTGGTATCATTCTTTTTTTATTTTTTCTCTTGATGTTTCTTAATTTTTTTATGATAAGGGAAGAGAAGATGATAACATTGAGACAATAAGGAAGCGATTTAGAGTTTTTCTAGAGTCTAGTATCCCAGTGGTTGAGTATTATGAATCCAAGGGGAGAGTTCGAAAGGTAGTGAATTTTTTGTGAATTTATTTGTATGTATTTTATATATTTTGTGTTTACCTTAACCATTGATTTTTGTTGTTCCAACTGCAGATTGATGCTGGTAAATCAGTTGAAGAGGTTTTTGAGGCAGTTAAATCCATTTTTACCCAAAAGGATGAGAAGGTAAAAGGACATAGATGTGCTATATTGTAGGCTTCCATGATTAATGAGAAGCAAAATCTGGAAAATATGCCTTTATCTTGTAACTAATTGAGGATTGAGGAAAATATGAATGGAATCTAACTTTAATTTCAATAACCTATTGAATGACGCACATCATAATATATCGGCTTGACCCTTTTTGCCTTTGTGCTTTTATTCATTTGTTTGTGGTAGTGAAGGATTAATATCAGTTCCTTCGCAGTCTATATACAACAAATTACTTCATTTGTGAATTTACCTATTTCTTTCCCTTAGAAGTTTTGAAAACTCCTCCTTGGTAAAATCTAGGGTAAGCATGTTGCTAACTTGGATTTCCTGAGCTACTTTGTTCCACAGTAGAGTTTCCAAATTATTATCACTTGCCAACATGTATGTGCCTAACCCAGTTTATGATGCAAGATTTGCAGGCACAAGCTATCGAATGATATAGCAAAAACTTCCCAGAGCATTACTTTTCCATACACCAAGTCATTCTCAATGCTTAATAAATTGTTCAAAAACTCCTGCATAGATATGTAACCCTAGGAAAAATTTCATGAATTATACTCCCAGAGTGTTAACTAAAAAGTTTACTTAGTGAGTAATGTCTGTGTCAGTAAAATGACTATCATCTTCTGGCTATTAACCAAGCAAATGTAAACTTTAGAATTGCTTGTCCTTGCAATTCCAGTATTCCTTTTTCACATTGCGAAATGCACTTGTAAAAAGTAGCAACTTAGAAACTCTACTGTGGAACATCTCACCTGTATATTGCCTCTCATTCATTTGTGGTGTTTGCAGGCTGCTGCCTAAGTGTTACTACTTTGCCAAAGATATTGAATCCAACATATAGAGGTAACAGTGTTGCATGCCTAAATTCTCATTGGAATATCAGACTTTATTAATTTTATTTGGAAATGAAAGCTAAAGATTGTCTTAGGTTTCTATTCTTTTTATATTATTATTGTTTACTTTAATTTTCTTTGGATTGGAGAATTGAATGGGACAGAAATTAGATAAATTGTTGAATATAAATCTCTGAAAGTGTATGACAGTCAATACTAATGAGATGGCTTAGTGGATTGGATTATATTTAATAATTGTGTTTCTTTTTCAGGTGATGTTTCTGTTGATTGCTTGCCATTGTACTTTGTCTTGTAAGGTAATATTGTTTATTGGGCAGCCATTCGTGCTGCAGTTTTCTTTTCTTCATCTTTTTTTTTTTTTTTTTTTTTTTTTTTTTTTTTTTTTTTTTTTTACTGATAGGTGGTTATAGATTATGTGAGCTACGACATATATTTTATATATTCGTACCTCTATATTCTTGTAAGTTTATTCCAATGACGAGAATTGTAGTAATAAGTATGGCAAACAATCCCCCTTTCATTTGTAAACTATGATTCTTTGTTGTCTTTCTGCCTGGTTTCTTCTCTCCGCTTTGCCACTTCCTGTTATCTGTACTTGTTTACTGCGTGCACTCCACTTGTAATAAATGGACACCAAGTTGTTCATGCATTTACTCGTTTTGATTGAAAGTAAAAGCCATTCTTATCCGAAATCAACCATGCCTAGTGTGCTATCTTATAAGCCTCTTTCGGGGGTTTCAAGGTAAAATCCTGTCCTGTCTTTTTTAGTTTATATGCTATGTTTCTGTTGTCATTCACGCCGTGTAAATTAGTAAATGTCTTGCTAGCTGTCGTTTATTAAGTAGACAAGTAAAGGGCTGTCGTTGGACAATGACGGAATCTCCTGAGAAATAAATGTAATTTTATGTGCTTAACGTGGCTGCAAATTATTGGGTGGAACAACTAAACTTCAACAATCTTGGGGAAGTTTGGACTTTTCTACTTGTCCTCCCTGCAGAAATCAACCCTACCCTTCTTTTCTACTTGTTTTCCCTTTTGCACTTTCTTCTTAGGAAATTACTTAATTCTCTCAACTTTCAGATACCTTTTCCGATTAAACAAATCTCATCATCTGTAATATAGTTAACAATTACTAAAATTCATTTTAATTAATTAAGCAGTGATCCATAAATTTCAGTCAGCAAGCGCAAGCTAGTGGTTTTTTATTCATCGGCTAATTAGGAATACATATATATATAATACAAATATAGAAAATATAGTGTGATTCAATTGGATGGATTGATGGTGTTGAAAGAACGGAAGCCATGTCGAAGACTAGCTGCCCAAACTTTATCCACATCGAAGATGGTGGTGTCACCACACTCGTGCACATTCCATCCCTCCAATGCATGTAATATTCCTGCTATACGCCAAGCGCTCATCACTCTTCTTGGCAACCAGTTCTGCAACAATGATTTTCAAAATTAAACATTTTAGGAAAAAAAAAAAAAAAAAAAAAAAAATTAAACATTTTAGGAAAAAAAAAAAAAAAAAAACAAAAAACTAATTAATGGAATTTAGATATGTAATATGTTTAAATTGTTTTAAGTACTCACAGGAATGCTGTTCTCCAAAAAAAAAAAAAAAAAAAAAAAAAAACTAATTAATGGAATTTAGAATATGTAATATGTTAAATTGTTAAGTACCTCACAGGAATGCATGTTCTCAAAAGCTTTGGGAATTATCATTGCTGGCGTGGTGAAGTAAAAGCAATCTTTCCGCCATTTCTTTGGAGGGAACTGTGTATACGGGATGAACAATGTTCCTTTTGATGCTTTCATTTGTTCTTCTTTGCTCACTTCATCTCCAACTACCCATATCTGCGTGCAAGTGGTTGAATGGACGATCAAATTATTACAACCGGGAGAGATGGTGGTGAGCTTCTTCCTGAGCTTTTCTTCCTCCTGCTTGTCCACTGTTGTCACCTGTCATGGGCTTTTATTTTACATCACCGGCACATCACCAGCCTTTTTCATAGTTTATATATATATATATATATATAGAACAAAAAGAGTACCTGAATCCCTCTTTGGCAGAGCGCCAAAGCTACAGCATAAGCAACTTTGGTGAAGTTGCCTCTGAAGAGGACTTGGATTGTCCCTCGGGGTATGCTGTTCAACACAACAGCCACTGCCAGACTGCTTCCGTCCACCACCTTCACTCTCAGACAAGGGTTTCTTTCCACATACACCTGCCATTTCCGTTCAGCTCCTCCTCCTGTGAAGCGTCAAAGCTATTAATTAATTAGGGAGAGACAAAAAAGACTCAGACTATTAATTGAGGAAAGCAAAGGAAAGGAACTCGCCTGATTAAGAAGTCCAAGCGTCAGCACCTTCACTCCTTTCTTATCTGCCTCTTTTATGGCTCCTTCAATCATGCCATTGATAGCATCTCTTTGGCTTTTTAACAAGTACTACGTATCAAATCAAAAACAAAATGCCAAACCAAGTCAAAACCCTAGCTATATATGCTTTGATTTTTGAAACTAGCTACTAGTTACTATTCCATGATAATATGTAAAAGAAACAAAAATAAATAAAAAATAAGAGTACTTGGCCTTTGTGTCTGGGCACCAGCCAAGACTGCCATTTGACGGTGTTGAAAGTGTTTCTCTCTGAAACAAAAGTACGTCCACAGATCCGCGACCAAAGCAGAGTGGCGGGCCACATAAAGCGGAGATACCACTTAGAAGAGTAAGGTTTGGAGGCAAAGCAGGCAAATCCAAACTGCAGATGATAGATAGAGTCAGGCGTGGTGAGATGCACGAGATGTACAACGTCCGGCGAGTCCTCTGCTCTTTCAACTGAAGCTTTATACAGCGTATCAGAACTCTCGTCCACCGTACCATACACGTAGTCGTAGAGGGGCATGAAAAGCGAGTAATTGGTACGGAATTGGGTGTGATGGAGGGAGTGATATCTGTTATGTCATGTCATCTCTTTAACTTAAAGAATAAGAAAAATAAAATGAAATTAAACTAGTTAAGTTAGAGACTCACGTCGGAGTGTACATAAGATACTTGAGCGGTGGAAAGACGGAGAAGAGTGAGTCTGGAATGAGCTCAAAGTTGCAGTGACCCATGTTGTTCATCAAGTCAATTTAGGTGATGTACCCAGCGAATGACGCTACAGACGCTGTGCGAGTCACCAGCGTCGTCACCAGCGGGATAGCAAACAGCGCAAAATATGCTATGTGTTCCGCAAATGGATGAATCACAGCTGCATGTTTATACTCGTAAATAATCATAAAGATAAAGAGTAAATATAGAAGATAAAGGAAAACTAAGAATAATAACAGACAGGTGATTGGCTCGGTGACGATGGAGGAATGGTGATGCGAATGGTAGCGAGAGTAGAGGTAATGGTGATGAAGTGCTCTGTGAAGCCAATAATAGATGAACTCCACAGGACCCGCATGAAGCAGAATGGTTAGAATTACACCATCACTTCTCCACATTGGGAAGTGATGAGCCAAAGACGACGTGTTGTAGACTATGTAAAATATCAGTGCATTGAACAATATCTGGTCATCCCTGCAACTCAAAACAATTCAAAAAAATTTAACTAAAATTCTAATCATAATTTGATTTTTGCATGAAAATTATAATTAACTAGTTAGTTAGTTAGTTAGTGTTACCAATTGCTTTCCCTGTCAACTTGCTCGAACTCAATTCCCTTGTCAACGATTCTGTTGTCGCCTTTGGCTGTTCGATAACGAGAATAAGAAATCCATATAAGATTGTGAGCCACTCGTAGCAACAGAAATGGGAATATGAGCAAGTAGGCAACGTCTCTCTCGCTTTCTTCGTTCACAGCAAACGAAAACAAGCTATGAACCACCCATGGCGCCACCAGTATGTACTTCCAATATGTTCAACCAAGCACAGATTAGATATGTACACACACGCACACACACACATATATATATATATATACACATATCCATCCATGCGAAAAATATATACCTTAAAGCTGCCAAGATTCTTCCAAGGCCAGTCAGTGAGGAAGCCTGGCTTAGTGGCCATATTTTGTTTTTCTGTTTAGCAATACTATATTTTAGCAACACTATAGAAATATATAATGGCACTCCTTCAACTGGCGATATCAATCAACTAAACACTTCAATGCAGCTTCTGAATTTCCCAACCTCCGCTTGGTACGTGTCCCGTCGCTGATGTATTAATTTATGTTTCAACCACTTATACTACTTTTTTTTTTTTTTCTTTTGTTGTTTTGTTTATTTTAGTTAGGTCACATCAGATTTCAAACCCAAACATTGTTACCTTTTCTTTTCTTATATTGCAAATCCTCTGTACAAATCAGTATTTTAATTCAATTCACAGTATTTCTTAGATTAGAGAGGATAAAATAAAAAAAAAAATTAATAAAATTATCATTGGTCTAGGTCTAGGCCGTTCCTTATTGGCCGGTCATTCCTTGATTGATATAAAGAGGAGTGTCGACCGCATTCATCTTAGTTATGAGAATTGCCTTTAAATAATATTTTCAAATTTTATATTTTGAATAAAAGTGAATTTATGTGTTGGGGCAGTGGCAAAGCTTTGGTCTTGTTTGGTAATGTTTGTTCAGATTTTGGCAACAAAAACTGGGTGGGACCATCCCAATGAGTAAGTTTACTGACACACCATGTGGAAGAATTAATTAGCCAGACAGATCGTAGTTGATTTGCAATATCTTCCAAAAATATCTGAATCTTTGAATCTAGGACCAAAGCTTGAAGATCTTAATTATGCATATTTAATATTTAAATTAATTGATAAATCAACCAATTTTAATTTTGCATAAAAAATCAATTCCGACCAAAATACTACTACTGCTACCAGTTTAAAGGGATGGATTTAATTTAAACTGATCAATCGAAACCGAAGGATACGTAATACGTTTCGCGTGCATGCAAAATTGTCCTATTCAGAGGTCGGCATAGCTACAATAATAAATGGAGTTAGGCGGAAATATCTTTTCTTTTTCAGAAAGATCGTAAGCAAATTGAAGAAAAGGGGGGACCACCTAAAACCAAAGCCTCGTCCAATCTATAGGGAATTGGTCCACCGCATTCACTTCTATCTTTCTTTTCTTTTTAATTGATTTTGAGTACGTGGTGTACACATGTCAATAAATAAATAGTGAATAAAGATGTTGCTGCCTAACTTTGTTTTAGGCTTTCTTAAGTAATAAACATCACTTCTCCTATTTTCCACAAAAAAAAAAAAAAAAAAAAAAAGATGTTGCTGCCTAACTTTTGTTTTAGGCTTCTTAATAATAAACATCACTTCTGCCTATTTGTCCTACAAAAAAAAAAAAAAAAAAAAAACCTCCTATATTAATCAATATAGAACTATAATTAAAAAAAAAAAAAAAAAAAAAAAAACTCCTATATTTAATCATATATAGAAATATAATTAATTAATTAATAACATCTTTTTACTTTTCTTCCATCGAATAAATATATTATTTATATTTTCACACATATTTTAATATAAGTACCATAATAAACTTTAATACGAATAAAAAAATAAAATTGAAATATTAAATAAATATAATTTTATAATTTAAAGAGTTAATAAGGAGTTTAAACGAGTGAAGTGAATAAAATTATAAAAATATTTATTTCGAATGAAATTACAATTGATCCAAAATGCATATATGTGGATGAACTAAATCCATGTATGTACTATTACCCGTAACATCATAACACGACACGTAGCTGTTTAATTTTGTTGTTGTTGGAAATGCCCGATTTTCCTAGGTTTCCAAAATCTCTTCAAAGTTTTTGAGTTGATCAATAAATACAAAGCCATAAATCTGTTGAGATATGTGGGGTCGGATTTTAAATAGTGTCAGATGGATTGACGTTGGGCAACACATGACATGGGATCAGCCCACCACCTTAAGACTAGCGAATGTTAATGTCTATATATATATATATATATATAGTTTGAAACTTGGACACTGTTTATAAAATCATTATTAACAGCAATGATATTCTCTAAAACATCAAACAGTAGAAGCAAATTAAAAATCACAGTAACTAGAAATTAATCAGAATGATGTAGATATGGCAGCAGAAACGATAGAGAGAGGTTTAAAGCCATGGCGAAGAGCTGCTTGCCAAACTTTGTCAATGTGGTACATCGAGTAACCACACTCATCCACCTTCCATTCTTCTAAAGCATGCACTATTCCAGCTACTCTCCATGCGCTCATTACCCTCCTTGGCAACCAATTCTGTCATTTTATTAACAATTAATTAATTAACAATCTCCTTACCACCTTTCTGTATATGTTCTAACAGTAATATATATACATATATACCTCACAAGAGTCCACGTTCTCAAGAGATGCCGGAGCCACCATTGCCGGTGTGGTATGGTAAAAGCAGTCATTGCGCAATTTCTTAGGAGGGAATTGCGACAATGGAATAAATAATGTTCCTTTTGTTGCCTTTTTCTGCTCTTCTTCACTCAATCTTTCGTCCACTAGCCATGTCTGCTTAAATTCATTCTCATCAGTTCTTTTCTAATTAGCCACCAACCCATCGATCGGGAGTTCATTAGTTTACATACCTTGACAGAATAATCTTTTGAAAGGAGCAAATTGCTGTGGTATTCGCTGCCCAATGATGTCTTCACCTTCTCATAATCTTTCTTCAAAGCAGTTTTTACCTATAATAATAATAATAATAATAATAATAATAATAATTAATATTAACAAAGGGCTTCGAGGGTTAACAAAGGAAATGGTTTTCGCATCCAATATTAATTTGCAATAACAGTTCTTGGCCTTCTCTTAGAGATGCCACAGTTTCAGAACTGCAAAGGGAATGCCCCTATGAGCATTGTATAAAATTTAACTTTGATGGTTCAGCACTGGGCAAACCTGGAGCAGCTTGGGGTTTTAAGAAATTCTACAGGCTGTATTTTATGCATCTTCTATCAATTTACAGGTGTTATGGAATCTAATGAGGCTGAAATTCTAGCTATTTTCATGGCAGTAGATATTATTTCAAACTCTTACTTCAAGAATTATGAAGTGATAATTGAAACAGATTCAAAAACAGCTTTTTGTTGGGCTATGAGAGGGACAAGCGCCCTTAGAAATTTTGGGATTTATTTAATAAATTTGATCAATCACTCCTGCTCTGTAACTTTGTTTTCCGCAAGGTGGCTAGAGAACGCAACCACTTCGCAGATCCTTTGGCTAAAAAAGGAATTCATGCGAATGACCATTTTTTAACTTGGATTTAGTTACCTAGTTTTTTTCTTTGTGGTTGGCTGGAGTCCCTTTATTGCATGAAGTTGGCCATGTGGGAGCATTATCTATGGTATGAGGGTAGGAATTTTGCTGGGTGTTTACTGCTATCTGCAATTTTGCATTGAGTTTTGGTACGTTAAGAACAATTGTGGAGATGTTTTTGTTAAAAAGGATTGTGATAGATAGTTTTGTAATCTGATACGAAAGTTTAAGTTTCTTACCTTAAGAATTTTTCTTTCCATTAATTCCTTTTAAATTTGATGTATTCCGGTTCAGGTTTTTTTTTTTTTTTTTTTTTTTTTTTTTTTTAATTTAATATTCTTTGGGCTAGGTTGAAATGTATATAGAGGTCTATTAATTTAGTTTTAGCCTGCTGAAAATTTTTTTTTTTTTTTTTTTTTTTTAATTTAATATTCTTTGGCTAGGTTGAATGTATATAGAGGTCTATTAATTTAGTTTTAGCTGCTGAAATTTATTAAGTTCTTTATTGTAATTATTTTTAATAAAATAAAAATTTACTGACAAAAGAAATCAATATTAACAAAGTCAACGATACGTATTCATTATTTTGGAGGCCTTACCCTTTTAGGGTTAGATTCAATTAACCAAGACCATCATTAGTGAGGTAGATTACTAGTCCTACTATTCTCTCTAGCCGAGAAAGTAGATGATATTTTTAGAATTTATTGCTAAAGACTTTAAATAAAAAAAAAAATTTATTCGGATACCTGGATTCCCCTCTGACAAAGAGCAGAGACAACACCAAAAGCAACCTTAGAGGGTGAGCCGGTAAGCAGAAGTTGAGCTGTTCCTTTAGGAATGGAATTGAGCACAGCAGCGACTGCGAGACTACTTCCATCCACCACCTTCGTTTTCAGCCTTGGATGCCTCTTCACATAAACCTCACCGTACCCATTCAGCTCCTCCCCCTACATATATATTTTCCCTTCAATTTTAGCTTTCCTGGTTAAGTTTAATTATAAATATGAAACATTTATTAATTAGCTTACCTGATTCAAGAGACCGAGACTCAAAACCTTAACGCCTTTTCTGTCTGCTTCGAGTATAGCTTCTTCGATCATGTTGTTGATAGATTGATTTTGCCATTGCATGCAGTACTTGAACGCACACGCACAAAATTAAGCAAATATTATTATTAATTTACAATTGAATAATTTGATACTCTTTAGTAATAATAGTAGTAGTTAAAATAGATACATACTTGCAAATTGTACCTGGGTATGGCCCAAGTTTGAAGTGTAAGCTTGTGAAAGCGATTCCTCTCAACTACGAAAGTGCGACCATAAATCCATGCGCAAATCATAGTCCAGAGAGTGACGGGCCACATTAAGCAGAGATACCAGTTCGATTTTTGGGTTTCGGGAGTAGAGGCCAAGTACGCAAATCCAAGGCGCAGATGGTAGATGGAGTCCGGTGAAGTTAAATGGGTGAGGTGCACCACATCAGGGAACTCCTCTTGCCTTTTCAATGAATTCTCGTAAAGGCTATCGGATGATTTGTCCGCAGTGCCGTATATGTAATCATACAAGGGCATGAAAAGCGAGTAATTTGTTCGGAACTGAGTGTGGTGAAGGGAATGGAACCTGCATCCATATTCATATACACATATATTTGATCTCTCTCTCTATATACATATTTAATTAATTAATGGATATGGAGAGGGAGACTTACGACGGGGTGTACATGAGGTACTTGAGAGGGGGAAAAATAGAGAAGAGCCATTTGGGAATGAGCTCGAAGTTGCAGTGACCCATATTGTTCATGAAGTCGATCCAGGTAATGTAACCGAAAAATGATGCCGTGGAGGCCGTTCCGTTGAAAAGCGTCGTCAACATCGGTATTGCAAAAAGCATGTAGTATGCTATGTGTTCCGCAAAGGGGTGAATCACAGCTGCAAGCAATTAAATGCACGATTATTTAATCTGTAAATTGAACAAATAATCCATTAAATTTCCAAAAGAAGCTAACTTACAGGTAATGGGTTCGGTGACAATAGAAGAATGATGGTGAGAATGATAGCGAGAGTAGAGATAATGGTGGTGAAGGAGCCGGTGAAACCAATAGTAAAGAAACTCGACCGGCCCAGCGTGAAGCAATATTGTAAGGATTACACCATCTTTTCTCCACAGAGGCAAATGGGTGGCATTGGGAAGTACCATGCTTCCCACATAAAAAAGGATACCGTTGAACAGTATCTGATCATCCCTGCATGTCGAAACTTTTAATTAACTTACAAAAATTACTCCACGATATATATATATATATATAGTAGTTAAAGTGTATGCACATTACAAGACAGACCAGTTCCTTTCTCTGTCTACTTGGTCGAATTCAATGCCTCTGTCGAGAATTCTTTTACTACCTTTGGCTGTTCGATAGCGGGAAAGGCTAATCCATAACTGGTTGTGGAGCATTCTCCACAACAAAAATGGGAAAATGAGAAAGCTGGACAAATCATTTTCTCCTTTCACCAGGTACGAGTACGTGTTGTGAATGGCCCAAGGAGCCAATATCACATGCTGCATGAAGCATTCCTTATTTATTTATTTATTCAAACTAATACTACTTTATTAATTAATTGCTAGAGATTGAAGTGAACCATACCTTAAAATCTCCGAGAGGAGTCCACGGCCAGTTTGTGAGAATTCCAGGCGTAGAAGCCATGCTTGTTGCTTCTTTATATTCCTCCTCTCGATCTCGATCCCTCGGCTATGAAGGAAAATATGCAAAGGGGAAGGATGGTATATATAATGACACAAGCTAAGCTACACCATCTAAAATTACCATTCACACTTAAACACGTAAATTCACTTATTTGTCAAATCTACGGACACCACGTTGCCACGAATGTATAGCCGGTTAATCATAAATTAAGGATGGCTAGCAGGCGGCTGGGCGGAGTGGCCATTTCCACCGCTCATTTATTTTAGAGAGATAAAAGTAAAATTGTGTTCATAGATACTCATTATATACGTAGTTTCAAGAGAAATAAATTTTTTTATTACATATTTATTTTTTATATATAATTAATAATTATTGTTATAATTTTTTAAAAATTTAATGTTTAGATATATTAAATTAAGAGTAATATAGTAAATTTATTTAATAATTTATTATTATTTATATAAATTTAATGATTTTTTTTAAAAGACGTAAAATTTCAAATATTATAAAATAAAATAAGCCAAGTTAAAGTAGGTACATTCATCCGTTTGGAATACCTATCCTCATAGGAAACAAGATATATATAGATGAATATTCAGTAAACAAATTACTGAGAAAGTTATCAAATTTAAGGGAACACATACAGTAGGTCGCCAAAATAACAAAATTTATTATCCTGAAAGTAAATACTCCAACAACCCTCCTTTCCTCGCTGAGCCCTGATATAGAGTGTTTCTTTTTTTTTTGGTAAGCAAAATACAAAAGAGGAGTTTCCTTCATTTATCATCATCATCTTTATGTGTTCCTGAATCTTGCCAAATACCAAACCTATGAGCTCACGGAAATTATACTTATTAATTAAGCTAATCATCCCATTTGTTTTGCATGTTTTTTTTTTTTTAACTTATTATTTATTTTTATGATAATAAATAGAAGCTATGTTGCACGGCATAGTATCTATTTATGATTTTTTTAAAAAAAATTATATGTATTTTATTTATAAATTATTGTATATTGTTAATAAATCATACTAGTATGACATATATACAAGTACACAGTGGCAAAATTAGTATTGCCAGCTATCTGTTTCGTTTTTTTATTTTGTTTCACATGAACACGTCATATAGATAAGTACCAAACCAATTAAATTCGACCAACCAACCAACTACTTGAGCTGAGCCAATAAATTGATATGACATATTAATACCATTTAATTCTTTCATAAATTTTATGGACATAAAGTACAAATTACACCGCGCTCACCAGTCCAGTACATATTAGGTTTTTGACCATAAAATTATAAATTTTGAACTTACTACTCACCAATCACCGGTACAGGTAGTAAATATATAGAGACGACTTTTCCAAATTTGGTGTGTCTGCAAATGCGACGGTCTACCCATTTAAACAAAAACATAGAAGCCATTTCTTTACCAATTTCACACTTAACACCAAATCCAAGATGAAGACAATCTTACAACCGGCGCCAAGATCGAAAGAAACTCCGACCTTTAATTATCATCTTCTTCATTACTTTTCCTATTATAATTATAATTGTTCATCTATCTCCCTTATTCTCTTTATCTAATTGTTCATGGTGTTTGGAGAGAAAAGAAAGACAACCAATAAACCATCAGACGAGAGAATGAGAAAGAGAGAGAGATAAGAGAAATAACAAATTAAATTCGTTGAAGCATGTTTACTGAAAGGTAAAAAATATATATATACCTTTTCAAAAACTTACAGTTGTCCTCCACAAGTATTCCTCGTATATTAGATTTACATCGAGCTAAATAGATAGACATAGTTTTACATTATTAATTTATTAAAATTTATGCTCTAACGATTATTTTATATTAATTTAACTTACCAAAAACACACCTTAAAACCCCTCACATAAAACTATTAACAAAATGATTAAATAATAAATAATAAATTTGATATCTACAACTAGCACGTGTTAGCTAACTAGAATGCAATTCTAAAAAAATAATAAAAATAATCAATTAACATAATTAAAAAATTAATACTTATTATTTAAATTTATTGTTTTATCTCCCAATATAACATAAGATTTATAAGGAATATCTTTATTATCAATTATAATAATAACTTAATACTTAACACTTTATTATAGATTACACACAACTTAATACTAAATTTAATTCTTATAGAAAAAATCATCACAAAAGATTTTATTTTTCTTTGGCTATATATAGAGTTTATTATTATTTTATACGACTTTTCTCTTTATTGATTTACTCATAATTTTAGAGGTATTTAGTTTTCATTATTTTACATTTTCACCTTCTTCAAATCATAAAAATTTTATTTTTACCTTACGTTTCAATAATTTTTTATTAATTTTATTTACATATATGTTATAATCTTTCAAATGAAATATTTTCAATACTTATTATTATTTTTATTATATTATGAAAAATATCAACCACTTTTAAAAATAAAAAATAAAAGATGAATCACTATAGGCGAGTATTAATGTCCAACGTAAGTCATTAAATACTACTACCTCTATTTCATAATACTCGTCACATTTAGAATTTTTTATTAAAATCATTAAATTTGTCTAAATTATAATAAATTATTAAATAAAATATCTATATTACCCTTAATTTAATACTAATTATCTCAGAATACTATTAAATTGAAGTAATAATTATTAATTATATATATTACCCTTAATTTAATACTTAATTATCTCAGAAATTACTATTAAATCTGACAGGTAGTAATAATTATTAATATATTATTAAAAAGCTAAAACATAGAAAATATATTACCCTTAATTTAATACTAATTATCTCAGAATACTATTAAATTGAAGTAATAATTATTAATTATATATAAAAAGTAAACATAGAAAATCACAAATGTAACGAATATTTTAAAATAAATTATTTTCTAAAAGGTAACAATTATTGTGGAACAGCGACGTAGTTAAATTTAAAAATTGTATTATTTAAAATTGCGAACTGCCTATGGAATTTCCCTTTTACGAGCATATAAAGAAACTCATAACCAGGAAAACTGAAACGGCAGCGAATCGCTTGCACACGACTTCGGTTGGCTTCCTCGAAAAAGAAACCGTAGCAGGTAGCATCCAGTTTAGGCGGGAAATCACAAAGCACTACTTGGTACGCTCTATTCTGCTGGCTGCTACTGATGGTAATGAGGTGAAGAGAAAAAACCTAATTGGATCAAAACCACGAAAATGGCTCCGAGAAAGAAATTGAAGTATGCAACACCATCTTCATCTTCAGCGACGAAGAAATCCCACTCAAATCAACAACAATCGCAGCCTACCAAGTACGGGATCCAACATTTCTTCCAGCGCCACTCTCAAAGTTGCTCATCTTCTCATCCAAAGCTCTCCAATTATCCCATACCACCTTCTTCCCTCTCTTTTACACTTGACCAATGTAATGCACTTCACAACCATCCTAATGGAAATGCCCCAAATTCGGCTGCTTCGACCTTGCCAAAACCTAAAGCTGCAACCTATCCCAATACCGACGGATCAAATTCACGAACCACAGAAGCGTACAAAGGCTCTCAGGATATTCCTCCTCAGAATCGCATAACCATTGACATGGATGCCGCCGAGGACAATACGACTTATATCTCACCCAATATTTCCAAGTCCGTTTCTCTCGATCTCCATCGCTTCAAATTCTCGCCTGGAATGGTTATCTCGCTTACCTTTGACGTTCTGTCTCTTATGAATAAAATTATCTTTCTTTTTTTTTTTTTGGCTTGCCGAGGACTTTCTTCTTACCCCTCTCTCCCTCTCCATTCTGCGTGCGGAAACGCTATACATTCTGACTATGCAAGTGGTTTATTAGCTACTTTTTGGAAACAGTTGATAAAGCAGAGCCAGGATGACGGGGGTGACGAGATCACGTGGAAGATTTCTCCAGTGAATGAAAGACTACAAGCTAAATCGAAGTACATGCCACAAGTCACAAAGGAGTTGGCAGATTCTTCAAAGATGAACTCTTTAAGCATCCGCCCTTGCTCATTAAACAAGGCACGTTCATGATTTTTTTCTTTGATTGGTTATGAATATGCTATTTTCGATGCCCTACTAAGGATTAATTGGACAGACTTCAGGCGCATCTGGAAAGGTTCACACAGGGCTCTCTTCACCAACACGGGAGGCCACTGAAACTTCTTTCTCTGCAAATAGAGTTGGCTTGAAAGGGGAAATCTTATTTCAGGACATGGTTAGTTATGGAGGCATGACTGACGGGAACAGCTCCCTTGCTAGTAGACAGAGTCCTTTCAGAACTCCGCCATCTTTATCCTATTGCAACGAAGGGGTAATTATGCCTAATGTTTGACCTTACTTGCCAAATTCCCTATGTGTTTCCGTTTTAATTACAAGGACGTAGACGCCTTAGTAAGTAATAAAAATTTCATCTGTTCAAAAGAACTGCCTTTTCTAGCATCGGATTGACCGGATGGAGGATACGTAGTATTGCTTTTCTAACCTGCTATTAACTGCAGCTTGCTATTGAAATTGAATGCAATGAAGTTACGGATCAACTGAGTTTGAGACAGCACAAAAAGGTTTTGCTTTGGACCATTACATTCTACCATTGTCAAACAAGTTATATTTTCTTTCTTCTGATCTTTTTTTTATGGATCATCTAGTGAAACATCTAACATTTTGCGTGATCCTTTCACTGCTAAGTTGCAACTTTGAATGAGCATGCAGATGAACAATTTTATGTTTACATGATGTAGTCCTGATTGCCTGCTGATTGTTCGATATTCTTAGGCATTGCTTGAACTTTTAGATCAAGTAGAGAATGTAATTTCTTCTGAAGATTCAGTATTGAGCGGCAACAATGCATATTCATCTACAGTTCAACATGGTAATGGCAATGAGACGACCTCCAGAGCTGACCCTCTAGTACACAGAGTAGCTCCAGATCCAACAAAAAGGTTAACTAAGTCAACACTAAAACAAAATTTTCTTGTATTAGAGGTATACTCGACCTCTTCCTTGCACTTATGCTAAATGTTTCTGGGTCTTTACTGAAAATAACAACTACCTGGAGAATAATTATGTTCCAAGATATCTATCCTTTAGGTCACGGAGAAGCATATGCCTGTCGACTCCTCTGATGTTCAATGCCCATACAAGGTTTTCTATCTGGCTTAGTCAAAATGACTTCATTGCTTCTATAAAGCCTGACAAAGGTACTAAAGGTATTCATTAAAATTTTAGGTTCTTCGCTTGCTGGATGAGCGGGGTGGAGAAGAACAATCTGTATGTTTGCGTGGAGAGTGGTCAGTATTTTTCTTTTCCTAAATTCTTATGGATTGGGTCCAGTGGGAGCCTAAGATTTTGTTTCAAAGAAATACATCAAGGCTAACCATGAGATTTTCTACTTTCTTCAGCAAGCAGTTTCTGTTGTGTTGCTTTGACGTTTGTTAATTATGACAGATTTTGTTGCGAGTTCCATTTTTTTAGACCTTAATGTTTGTCAATTTAAATAAATCAATGAAATGTAGATCCTAAAATCTCTTTGCCATTAAATACGTCACATGCATGCATGGACTCACTTTCATGTATGTATTTTGTGTGCAAATATGTGTGTGTGTGTGTGCGCGCGTATGTATCAACAAACTGGTGTCAGATGATTTGCTGCTGGTGATAATATAGTAATTTCATCATTCAAGTGCTAAACAATCTTTCTTGTTGCTATCTGGCTGTTTTTTCATTATCTGAATTTAGATTGTGTTCTTTCCAATTATATCTGGAACTGAATCTTTTTTTTGTTGGCTTGTTGATCCCACTTTGAATAATATTTTCGATGGTTTGCTCCGACTTTTGCTAGGTTTTACAGTGTCATTGCACCTGGGGATACTGTAAATGTGATTGGTGAATTTGATGAGCAAGGAAAATGTGAAGTGGATCACGAAAACAATCTTTTGATTGTTCACCCTGAAATTCTAGTCTCTGGAACTCGAGTAATCCATTTTTTATGAAGATTTACATCAATCTAATTGTTGCTCATTTTTAACCATATTTTCCCTAATGATTTGGAACAATTTCAGGTTGCTGCAAGTTTCAGTTGCCCCAGGCGTACTGTGCTGGATGAGAGGCTTAAAAGCAATGATCATTCGGAGGCAGCATTGATTGGTACCTTACTGCACCAAATATTTCAGGTTTGACAACTTAAACAATTTTCCTCAGTTAATATTAGAATTTTTAAACACATTTTTCATTATTCTATGAAATAAATCTTCAAGGTGTAGGATGCATCTTTTTCTTTTTCAGGCTGGACTAATAAATGAGAAGCCTACTATAAACTTGTTGGAAGGATATGCCAGAAAAGTTCTCCACAAAAATATTGAGAGCTTGTACGCGTGTGGAGGTGAATATTTGTATAGATGTGAATATATTATCATTTGCAATCTCTTGTTCGTAACGATCTCAAATGTCTATTGCCAATAGGCCACTTTAATGGTTAAAAACTCGGATTTCTGATTAAGTCCTTGGTTCTAAACTTATTGTTGCTAAGGAAGGATTATGGAATGGGCCAAAGTTAATTCCTTGGTTTGCCCAAAATCTCTTGTTCGTAACGATCAGTCAAATGTCTATTGCCAATAGGCCACTTTAATGGGTTAAAAAACTCGACGGTATTCTGATTAAAGTCTGGTGCAAACTTATTGGTTGGCTAAGGGAAGGATTATGGAAATGGGCCAAAGTTAATTTCCTTGGAATAGCTTCAAACCATATTTTTTCATTTTAAAACGTGTCTTGTTACTTGCTTTAGATAACAGATTTATAAAATTTTTTTTTTTTAGATAATTTTGTTCTCACGGCTTCTTAATCACAACTTTGTGCGGAATTTTGCAGTCAATAAACATGACTATGCCTCAAGACCGTTGGTGAGGGCCTCCATTCCAAAAATATTAAAATTGGATCATACTCTTAATTCAAACAGTTCACAGGGTACATTTCTTGCCTTGTAGGATTGTTTGTTTGGTTCAAGTCATATAGTTGAGGCCTGCACTGTTGCCCAAGCCCACCCTTTTGTCAATCTTAAATTATTGCTCTTTTGCTAAGGAAGGATTATGGAATGGGCCAAAGTTAATTCCTTGGGATAGCTCAACCATATTTCATTTAAAACGTGTCTTGTTATTTTCTTGATAACAGGATTAAAATTTTTTTTTTAGATAATTTGTTTCAAGGTTCTTATCACAACTTTGTGGGAATTTTGCAGTCAATGAAAATGATATGCTCAAGACCTTGGTTGAGGCTATTCCAAAAATATTAAATTGGATCATCTTATTCAAAAGTTCACAGGTACATTCTTGCCTTGTAGGATTGGGTTTGTTTGGTTCAAGTCATATAGTTGAGGTGCACTGTGCCAAGCCACCCTTTTGTCATCTTAATTTTGCTCTTTCTCTGACTTTGTTACTTGTTGATTCTAATTATTGCGGTCTATAATTAACTGTTTTTGAAATATGAAATTAGTAGAGGTTGTGCATAACATTTATTTTCCTCCCCTAATATCCATATCACACGATTCATTTGAGTATTTGTTGAATATTTCCTTCTTTTTGCAAAGCTTGATGTACTTGGTAGTGTTTTGCGTGTCAGATGCAGATATATACATGTTCATTTGCGGTAGAAACTTTCTTTATGCCCATTCTCGAGGCTAATGTTCATTAATCCTTGTCAGGATTCAAAAGTCCCCATTGTTGATTTTGGTTCGGATGATGGATTGAAAGAGCTAAGAATAACTGAGGTTAGATCTCTTGCTTGTGCTTGTCTGTATTATTTGGTTTACATTTATAATATGCATCCTATCGCACATGCTTCACACATGCATAAAAACTTATGCTGTATATTAAGATGAATGCTGGATATTGTTACAGACTGTACAATGTACCATTTAGTCATGAATGTCATAAATTCTCTTTGCATGACTCTATGCGAATTTCCTGAGTCAGTGACATTTCAAACCGTACAAAGTGTGAAATTTTTACACTTAAGCCATCATTTGCTTCAATGTAAAATAGTTTACTTGATAATCAAAAGTGATCCTTGTTAAATGTAGGTCATTGATATTGAGGAGATGGCATGGGCCCCAAAATATGGGTTGAAAGGCATGATAGATGCTTCTATCAGAGTAAAGGTTGAGAGAATGAGAAACGGCATAGATGAGAAGATTGTGCCACTAGAGTTCAAAACTGGGAAAATTCCCAGTGGACAGGCAAGTATATGGTCTTTGCTGAATTTTTTTTCAAATCATATTTCACAAAATGTAAACTTTGTTTTCCTTCTGTTCACTCATACTTGTCTTTTCTGCAGCCATCTACGGAACACTGTGCTCAAGTCATCTTGTACACTCTCCTTATGTCGGAGAGGTGTGTGGGGTTTTATCCTTTTTTTTTCTGCTGCAGAAAACAGGTCTTTAATTTTGGAAAAATAATTGAGCAATGTTTCTTTCTTTTCTTCCTACTTGTCATGTCTTAGGTACCAGCAACATATTGATTCTGGTATTTTACATTATCTCCAGTCAGATCAGACAAAGGTATAGAGTCACTTACATCTGTGCCACGTATTTTTCTGTATGTGTGTGTGATTGGATGTTTATTGTTGACCCTTGTAAAGGGAATTGTGGTACGGAGGTCTGATGTGGTTGGGCTAATTATGCGTCGTAATGAGCTTGCCCATGACATTCTTAAGGCATCAAAAATGCAACAACTGCCCCAAATGCTACGGGTATGATTGTTACTCAACTATAACAATCATATGCTTGAAGTTACTTTGTTTTAATTTCTTCAAATCTTCCTATGTTAGAGTCCAAGCATGTGCAGAAGTTGCCGTCATCTTAATGCTTGCACCATCTATCATAAGGTAACATTTTGGACCTTGAGTTTAGGAAATGCAAACTCATTTTCTTGGTAAGTACACCAATTTATCTATGGCTACATCTTGCTCCAGGTGCATGGTGGAAGCACTGAAAGTAGTGGACTGGGCGATATGTTTGATTCACATGTTCAACATTTAACTGCTAGTCACTGCGCTTTCTTTCGACAATGGGATCGGTTGATTGACTTAGAAGCTAAAGAAACACAGGTGAGGATGTCTTGTGCTTGTAATACAGGTAACTAGCTCCTAATTTTTGCACATGGAAAAATAACATGCAACTTCCCATTTTATTTACTATTGCAGCTTCTGAAAAATGAAATCTGGTGTTCACATGGTTTGACGAGAGATAACTCCTCTAGTTGCATTTCTTCTATTGTTCTCGATGCCTTAAATGGTCTTTCAGATGAAAATATTCTCAAAGACAGCCGATTTGTCTATCGTTTTTTGCCTCAACGATTGCCTCGTTGCAATGTCTATGCATCTAATGGAGATTCTTTGAGTGCTCAGCCTTCTCCAAAGAATGACTTAGATTGTACACTTAAAATTGGAGACTATGTGGTAAAGTACTTTTCATTTATAAATTGTGTCTTGTAGAATGTGGTTGTGATTTCATTAAATTTAATTAATAGAGTCAAATTTTAAACAAGAGATGTTGAACGACCATAAACTATACGAATCTGAGCTCACATATACCTAGGAATTGTGGGTGGCTTAGGCTCCTAGGCTTTATCTGTAAGGGGTTCTTTATCAGAAAAAAGAAAATGGATTTTGCGGTACCCATTCTTCTATGACAAAAATAAAGCTTCTTCGTTATTTATATGCTTTATTCAGTAAAGAAATTAGTATCATTTTCAAACTAGGACTTATGGTCCTGGGTTAGTTTGCATGTGAACAATTTTTTGCCTTTCTTTTTCTAATTTATTAGCTTCATAAACTCAATTGCTTGGCATAATGTCCAGTTTCATTTTATGCATGCAAAACAGCATATTAGTATTGACCTTTGCTTTTAATATGATGGGGGAATGTTAATTATGATGAACTTGAATGATTTCCTGGCATTTGAGATAATAATAAATTAAGAAGCTCAAGCATCTGACGGTTCTTTCATTTTCATTTTATTTGTTTTTCTGATGGCTAATTATTTTCTTATTTTTTGTCTCTAGATTCTTAGTACTGAATCTGGTCACCAGACTATTGCAAGTGGAGTCGTATCTGATATCAGTCACTCTCATGTTTCTGTAAGAATACTCTTTGCTTTTTCACTCTTTGAACACATTCCCATTGAGTGAAATCTTAAAAGTTGTATTCTTAGTGTTTGCTCTGCATTGCAGAGGTGCTTTATTAGAGATTGAGAAAATTTCTATCATTGCCAGTTCTTGAATTGTCATTTTGAAATGAGTAAAGTAGTTATAAACTAATATGTCTTCTGTGACATTCACAGGTTTCTTTTTCTAAGCGCTTAAGACTTCCAGGTAGTAATTCTTTTTCAGAAGCCAATCGTCTCCTTCAGGAAGTCTGGCGGATTGATAAGGATGAAATTATGACTTCATTTTCAGTTATGCGGTAATTTCTGACTCTACTCCTTTCTTACTACTGTATAATTTCATTTTATTTATGCCAGAAGACTGTCATTAGATTGGTGTATCACACCTTGGCTAAATGCGTGCTCCTCTATATTGCTGAAGGTTCAACCTTGTACAACTTTTTCTACAGTGCGAGCAGAGTTCTCATCTTAGGAAGATGATTGTTGACCTTGAGGTAACTTTAAATGCTATTACTGTTTCCAAAAACAAGTTCTTCAATCTAATCACTGATCCTCCTGGGTAACTTCCTGATTTCCCTTTCCTTGCAGGCTCCTAGATTTGATAGTGGCTGTATATTTAGCCAAGATCCTGCAATATCTTATATCTGGTCAGTGAAGAGTTTAAACGGTGATCAGCGCCGAGCAATTCTCAAGGTCTGCCACATTTTTTTCCCATTTGCCTCGTCGTGCATTCTGTATGCTTATGCTAAATTTCTTTTAATTTCACATCTGGAATCACTGAAAATGATCCTATTTTCATTAATTTCATTAATTTGTTGTTTCAGATACTTACTGCCAAGGACTATGCTTTAATACTAGGAATGCCTGGCACTGGGAAGACATCAACTATGGTTTATGCTGTCAAGGCCTTGTTGATGAGAGGTGCAACTATCTTGCTTACGTCCTACACAAACTCTGCTCTTGATAATTTGTTAATCAAATTGAAAGCTCAGGTCATCTCTTATTCTTTTCTGCAATTTATTACCATGAGTTTTTCTCCATGTTTGCTGAATTTCTTGGTTTTACAAAATTTTCAGTGTATATTAGGCTTTAGATAGCCAGCTAAATATCACGTATAATTTTAATCAAAGATATAGGATTTAGAATAATAGGAGTTACACTTCACAAGAACTTGTCCGCTGTTTGCAGTGTTGTGAAAAGGAGAAATACAATAACTCAATTGAAACCGGTAGAACTATGAAGTGTAAAAAATAAATGATGTATCATCTTATAAACAGGGCTTAAACCACTAGGAATGATTTCCCACTCATTGTCACTTCTAACATCATGATACTAATTAACCAAAGCATCTCCTTGGCTGCTTTCTGTTGGAATAGCAAGTGTAGGTTGTGTGTGGAGTGAGAATGAAAAGAATCTCACATTGGAAAGACAAGATATATAAGTGGGATGTATCTATGGACTTTAATGTCTCAAAATTTGGGCTTGATGTAATGTTAAGCCAACTTGTAGAGCATGGAAGAAAATTTTCCCTAACATTTTGGGGTCTTTTGTTCCCAATGAGTGCTATTAAAGCCCATATAATTGGGATGAATGGATATAGTTCTTCATGAAATAGTATTGTGTAGCTCCAGAAAAGAGTGGTGATATGTTTGACTCTATGGAGCTCTTTGAGCAATATTTATTTGGATTGGAATGAACTTGGTGGTAGGCTTATGGGTTTGGCAGAGTAGGTGGCTCTTAGAGATGCTGTAAATACTTGAGGGATAAAGAATAGGCTTCTGTTTGAGGAGAGAGAATCGTATGTCGACGGGACTCTCAGTGGTGGTTGAGGAAGAGATTGTTTGTAACAATGTCTAATGCTGTGTCATCAGTTGTAACAATGCTTATGCTGTTTCATCATTTGTAGCAATCTCTAATGCTGCCACCAATCTTTTTTTCACGTCTCATCATTCAAATATAAAGGTATATAGGATTGAAAGATTTCTTTTTGTGTGATTTTAATTTTGTAATCCTACCTTTGTGAACTTGAACATCAAATTAAGATTCTCTATGTTTGTAGAATAGAAAAAGTAGCAACTTGATTCTATGATAAATTACTATTTCTACAGTTGCATTACTGAATTAAAGAGTTTCAGGGTATTGATTTTCTACGCATTGGAAGACATGAAGCTGTTCATGATGAAGTTAGGTCCAATTGCTTTTCAGGTTGGTGAAAAGTTGCATGCTTACAGTATGTACTATTTGGCCAAGTTTTTCCCGCCTTAATAACCAGAGTTTGAATAACAGCAATGGACATACAGAGTGTAGAAGAAATGAGAATAAGATTGGAACAATTCAAAGTTGTTGGAGTAACTTGTTTGGGAGTTGCTAGTCCCTTACTTGCAAACAAGAAATTTGATGTATGCATAATGGATGAAGCTGGACAGATAACCCTACCGGTAAGAGTTCTTTAATTGCAGACCAATTAGTTGACAGATTTGTACAATGAATTTTTCATTGACAGAAAGTAATCTATTGTGTGAGCAAAGTAAATAAAATACAGACATAAACATTTTAATATGGTAAAACTCTGATTTTGTTCCTATCAGATATCCTTGGGACCCCTGATGTTTACTTCAAAGTTTGTTCTTGTTGGTGATCACTATCAACTGCCTCCACTTGTTCAGGTATGAAATGCATGAGCATTTGGATCCAATTGCTGAAATTTCTTGTTTGTATTATAATCTCATTGAAACCCTTCTGCTAATTGATTTCCAGAATACAGAGGCTCGAGAAAATGGAATGGGGATAAGTTTGTTTTGCAGGCTCTCTGAAGCACACCCTCACGCGATTTCAGCTTTGCAAAGCCAGGTTTGCTTAAATTCTTAATTGATCCCCACCCCCTTTTCCTTATGTTGATGCTCTTGTAGTGGGCCAATTTACTAAGTCCTTTGTATGCAGTATCGTATGTGTCAAGGCATTATGGAACTGTCAAACGCCTTGATATATGGTGACAGATTACGTTGTGGTTCTCTTGAAATAGCTAAAGCAAAACTAAAATTTTCAAGTTTAAGAGCTCATGCGTCTTGGCTACGTAAGGTAAGCAATGATTATCGAATTAGTTGTCTTAAATAAATAGTGTTATGACCAGAAAAATGTCTGGAATTTCGATCATTGTCTATTGAAACAAAACCACCTCTTGATTTTAAATTGAAGAATAATATTCTTGATTCAAGAATTCTCTGGCCCTAGACCACTTATCTTCCAGCAACCACACGACCTTTTTGCAGCTGATATTCTTGCCAAGTCCCCTAGTATTCTTTATTTGAAAACTGGTGGTCTTTTGACATAGGCATTAAACTCATTCAGAATTTGTGTTTCTTAGTCTACTTAAAATCTCAAATTGTTCCCTTGATGTGGTTGCGCATAGTAGGATGTAAATTTTAATGCATAAATGTGTAAACAAGCCAAGCTAGGCTGAACTTCAGCTTGGCTCAGGTTTTGTTTACAATAAAAGAAAAAGAAATTTATGGTTCATTTACTATTGTCGAGCTAGCTTGCTAGCCTCACTATTGAGTTGACTCGCCAGCCTTATCCCACAGCTTAAGCTCAGCTTCTTTATTAACTGAGTTCAATGAGTTCAAGTTTGGCTTGTTAAGCTAATGGAATGAATTCAAATTTACTTTTTTTTTTTTTTTATTTGAGTCTCGACCTGCTCACAAACGCCTTGGCTAATTCACAGCTTATGATAATGTGATCATCCCAATTGGTAAATGTATAATAACTTGAATTGAAAGTTTGTTCGTACACAAAAGTTCCCAAGACATTGTTATCTTTTTTACTTGAATTGAAACTTTGAAAACCTACGTACGGGAATTAATATTTTAGCCTTTTTGCTTTATATTTATGGTTGCAGGTTTTAGATCCAACCAGACCTATTGTATTTATTAACACAGGTTTGTTCTAGTTTTTTCGTTCATTTTCTCTGGCCCTGGCGGTTGAGTACCTTTTTTTCATATGGCTCCGGTTCTTCACTGAGCGATTTCGTTAAACTTAGATATGTTACGTGCATTTGAGGCAAAAGACTCCAAGGCTGTGAATAACCCGATGGAGGCTTACATAATTGCGGAGGTATGATCCTGAGTACTAAATGGTGTAAAATGTGCTTTACATCATAATATATTAATGTTTCCTGTGCTTTCTTCAGTGTTACAAGGACATGGTTATCTTGAAGCCACAAGGAAACTGATTACCTTATTTTTCTGTTTTTGATTTAGGTCACCAAAGAATTAATTGACAGCGGGATTGTTGGTGAAGATATTGGAATCATTACCCCCTATAACTCCCAGGCAAATCTCATCCGAACATCTGTTTGCACAATCTCTGTGGAGGTGCATACCATTGATAAGTACCAGGTAAGCCAAAACATATACCACAAATTGATGCATTATGTCTTCCAGAAGTAAATGTGATGCCTGATAGACCTAGAAAATGACTTCTGGACCATTTAATTTTGAGTTAATGAAGCATTGAATGGTAGCTTTCTAGTTAAAGAGCATTGCCTTTCGCCAGCTACCTCTTAGCAATGAGATGTGTGATTGGCTTGGCTTAGTTCTGCCTTTCCATTTACCCTCGGGTTCCTTCCTTGCTTGAGAGCTAACAGCAGGGGACATTCACAAAATCTTCTCTTATATAGAGTCGTCACATGGAAAGAATTTTCTTTACTGTGAAATCTTTCATACTGGCCTCCCTAGTTTTTTGGCTGTAGCAATTATTTTGCACTAAGCAAGTGCCAATTGAATATATTTGTTTGAAACAAGAAATTCTAAGACATCTGTTCTGTTCACCCAGGGAAGAGATAAGGACTGCATACTGGTGTCTTTTGTTAGGTCTAGTGAAAATCCCAGAAATTGCAATTCGTCACTGCTTGGAGACTGGCATAGGATAAACGTGGCACTCACACGTGCTAAGGTAGGTAACATTTATAATCTAAGGCTCCATGGTTAACTGTAATGGAATCAAATGTAATTTTAGCGTAATAAACTCATTTTTTTGCTAAAAAAAAAAAAAAAGAAAAAGAAAAAAAATAGTGTAATGTTTATCTGGAAATGCAATTTTATAACATTACAGTACGATTCAATTAAAGTTTACCGAACAGAACCTTAAAAAATATTAGTGTAATGGTTGTTTGACAGCGGATCTCAAGGTATTATTATTCTTGTTTATACAGAAGAAGTTGATCATGGTGGGGTCATGCAAGACCCTTTCAAATGTTCCACTGTTGAAGCTTCTCATGGAGAAGGTCAATAAGCAATCTAGCATTTTGAATGTGTCTGAGAAGGATATCAACCTCGAAGAGCACAAGAGATGCTGTCAGGGCATACACAGGAATGACATTACATAAGTTTTGACTTCCTTTTCTCTTCTTCGCTCATCTAAATGGCCTTTTTTTTTTTTTTTTTTTTTTTTTGTGGGGGTCATGCAAGACCCTTTTCAAATGTTTCACTGTTGAAGCTTCTTCATGAGAAGTGTCCAATAAGCAATCTAGCATTTTTGAATGTGATCTGAGAAGGATATCAACCTCGAAAGAAGCACAAGAGATGCTGTCATGGCATTACACAGGAATGACATTACATAAGTTTTTGACTTGCCTTTTCTCTTCTTTCGCTCATCTAATGGCCTTTTTTTTTTTTTTTTTTTTTTGGGGGGGGGGGGGGGGAGGTTTCTTTTCTAATTCAACATATTTCATACTTCAATACAGCATACCATATAGAAAGGAAAATAATTTTTGTAACCTTTCTAACAATCAAATTGGGGGGGGGGGGGAGGTTTCTTTTCTAATTCAAACATATTCATACTTCATACAGCATACATATAGAAAGGAAAATAATTTTTGTAACCTTCTAACATATCAAATTATTATGTCCTGTATATAATATAATATTTTGTAAATTCATTTCAAATTGATAAAGTGGCCATTTGAAAGGATTTGCCATGCACGAAAGACAGAGTAATACTACTAAAATAATAGTTAGTTCTATTTTTGCTCATTCAAGACTAGACAAATATGATACTAACAAAAGCCTTGAGGTGGATCTTTCAGGATGTGAACAGTTTACGTGTAAGGAGCTTCTTTACCCTTTTGTAACCCAAACAGTTAGATGATGAAACGGCGTCTTTTTTGTTTCTTCTGTCAAGCCCCTCTTCGTCAGTTGGTAGCATTTCCGGTCATAGACACTATATAGAGGCGTTTGCGAGAGAAGGAAAAAGAGGGAAAATTGAGAAGGGAAAGGGAGGATTCGAGAACAGACGAGATAGAAAGGATGGCTGTCTGTATACTACTTTTGTTCAAATAGTCAATCTGACAATTATGCTTTTTGCCATTTACACATAAGCTTATATGTATACAGTTGTTGCATGAAAGACACCTCGCAACAACTCAGCGTCAAGCCACATTAGCAGCACAAACTAACGAGAAAACGAACAAATTACACTTCAGTCCAAAAATTCACAATCGGTTCTAATTACAGTAATTATTAATATTCAATCTTCGCTTGCATTTACTTAACATAAATAATATTAACAAGGGTTTACCTACTCTCTATTTTTTTCGTTTTTTTTTTTTTCTTAAAAAAAATGAAAAGATTTTAATTTGTGTGATGAAAAGAAAAGAAAACAAGTGGATTATTAAGTGCAAGTGCGAAAGGCATCAGCAGCAGGGCACGTGTGAGACATATTACTAAAGATTTGAGAGGATAAAAGGACAAATAATATTTGATAGCCTTTCAATGGTGGTGGTGGGAGTGGGAGTGGACAAAGAAAAACCACGACTAGTAATATAATAGCAGCCAGCAAAGTTGGAAGTTCACGTGACTTGATGATCCTCCTGCTTTCACCGGTTTGGAATTTAATTATTCGCTCAATCTTTCAAAGGATGTGAATCCGTAACTTTCTTTCATATTTTTGGCTCTTGCATAAAAAGAAAAGAAAAGAAAAGAAAAGAAAAACAGATAAACCAAAAGAAACGCAGGAATTCTTTTCATATACTAATAGTTGTGTCCCACTCCCTTAGTTGGTCATGTCTTTCATGCTAAAGTACAGAATGACACCTCACTCTTATTCTGTTTCTATGCATATCGATGTCTTATGCATTTACACGATATGGAATGATGACCAAGTGCTTTCAACTTTAAGCTTAGCTTGTTCTCGAAAATACACCAACACACCAATGTTAATTATACTAGTTTTGTGCCTCAAATTAGCATATCTTATACATCTGTTCATTACACACCTATATTTGAATTGGACCCCAACAAGTATTTTTTCTAATTAACGATCGCTACATAATATCACATAGCAAAACAGAGCAGAATTTTTGGCAGAGTGGAAATTTTGAATTAGGTGAGACTGTTAGAATACAATAAAGCATCAGGAATGGGAATGTGAAAGTGACGAAGGCAAGCAGGAATAGGAATCCAAGAATTCTCTCATTTGAGTTGAGATTGACAAGGACTTCCATTCATTCTCCGCCAAGTATATCATAAGTGCATAATTGATCTATATATAAAAATTTAATAATATTATGCATTGCACTGAGGCTGAGGCACAAATAGTAGTAAATGGTTTGATTCTGTCGTTCTGACATGCCTCCACTTAAGACAAGTAGCAAGCCAAAATGAGCGTTCCTCACCTCATTACATATATTTAACTACAATTTTATCAAGGCCCCAGATCCTCCAAAGTCTCTTACTAAATGGCAGAGGCACAGAGACGTGTAGAAACAACAATCCTATGCCTTGTTACTGTCAGCCTAACTTTGTCGTTTCTCTGTCAATGCTCTGCTGCTCTTCACTTGTCTCTACATTAATTCTCCCAAAACTCCAACCTTTATTCCTTCAACTTCTACTTGTTTCAGTCACATAAACCATGTTTCTTCAAAACATGTTGGATTCACACGATTCTTCAACTACAGGTATAACGTTTCTCTAGTTTCTTCTTTGCGTTTCCTTTCTTTCCAGATGCACAGATACGAGAGCACCTACTACCTACAGAGGGGGAAAAAATGCAAAATAAACAAACACAACTCATTTCACCCCCGTCTTGTTTCTATAATTAAATGATTTGAACCAACAATAGTATCATTTCAGGCTTCCAAAAACAAACAGTATACTCATAACCTGCTCTAACATGTATGTTTGCAGAATTTAAGCTTCTAATTAAGATGGCATGGCCACAGCTAAACTCACCCTGTTTGTGGGAGCATGTAAGCATACTTGGGTTCGTTGGAATCTTTCTACTTTTTCTTGTACTGCAAAAAAGTGTGCGTGTAGCATGCAAAAGGAGAGCAAAACTCCCAGATCAAAAGCTGCACAAGCACTCCAATGCAGCCAAATTCAGCGTCGCTTCCAAAGCCACCATACTTTGTTCCACTTTGCTGCTAGGAATTCATTTTTTAGTACTGCTGATGCTGCTAAAGGGCCAGCAGGATCATTGCAGCTCAAAAGCCATAGCCTTTTCTTCGCAGATCATGCAACTTGTATCATCAGCAGTTGCAGTTATTGCAGTATACAGAGTCCTGCATCACAGGCATGCCAAGTTCCCCTGCATTCTAAGAGCCTGGTGGGTTTGCAGCTTCTTATTATCCGTCATCTGCACCTCCCTACACACATATTTGAGAATTACAAACCACGGCCATCTTAGATTGCGAGACTATTCAGACTTCTTTGGTGTCCTCTCCTCCACCTTTTTGTTCGGTGTTTCAATCCATGGGAAGACAGGCCTAGTCTTCAATTCATCTAATCCCATCGCCGAACCACTTCTTCGTGGAAAAACTGGTAAATACTTGGAAGGAAAGAGGGAATCTCTATATGGAAAAGCTACTCTTCTCCAGCTGATTACCTTCTCTTGGCTCAATCCATTGTTTGCTACTGGCATCAAGAAACCCCTCGAACAAGATGAAATCCCGGATGTCGATATCAAGGACTCTGCTGGATTTCTGTCCCCAGCCTTTGATGAGTTCCTGAATCGAGTTAAGGAGAAAGATAGAAGCACAAACCCCTCCATCAACAAGGCAATGTTCTTCTTCATCAGAAGGAAAGCAGCAATTAATGCATTATTTGCAGTTATCAGTGCTGGAGCATCATATGTAGGTCCATACCTCATTAATGACTTGGTAACTTTTCTCACTGAGAAGAGAACCCGGACCTTAGAGAGTGGCTACCTTCTTGCACTAGCCTTTCTATGTGCCAAGATGATTGAGACGATAGCGCAGAGGCAGTGGATATTTGGTGCCCGCCAACTAGGCCTTCATCTTAGAGCTGCTTTAATATCTCATATTTACAGAAAGGGCCTACTTCTGTCAAGCCAGTCCCGCCAAACCCACACTAGTGGAGAGATCATTAACTACATGAGTGTAGATATCCAAAGAATTACAGATTTTATATGGTACCTGAACATTATATTGATGTTGCCCATACAGATTTCCTTAGCAATCTACATTCTAAAGACGACCCTAGGTTTAGGATCATTGGCAGCATTAGCTGCAACTTGCATAGTAATGACATGCAACATACCCATTACAAGAATCCAGAAAAGTTACCAATCACAGATCATGGAAGCCAAGGACAACAGAATGAAAGCCACTACAGAAGTGCTACGAAACATGAAGATTCTGAAACTGCAAGCATGGGACACTCAATTCCTCCACAAGATAGAGAGCTTGAGGGCCATAGAGTATAAGTGGTTGTGGAAATCTCTTAGACTTTCCGCAATTTCAGCTTTCATCTTCTGGGGATCACCCACATTTATCTCAGTGGTGACGTTTGGGGCGTGCATGCTAATGGGAATTCAGCTCACTGCCGGAAGGGTTCTATCAGCATTGGCTACCTTTCGAATGTTGCAGGATCCAATTTTCAATTTACCTGATCTTCTCTCCGCGATTGCACAGGGCAAAGTTTCGGCAGATAGAGTGGGTTCTTACCTACAGGAACGGGAAATTCAGCATGATGCCATTGAGAATATTCCGAAAGATGAGACGGACTTTGAGGTTGAGATTAACGGTGGAAAATTCAGCTGGGACCCCCAGTCAACCATCCCAACTCTAGATGGAATACAGTTGAAAGTGAAGAGGGGGATGAAGGTGGCAATTTGTGGATCTGTAGGATCAGGAAAATCTAGCTTGCTTTCCTGCATTCTTGGAGAAATACAGAAACTGTCAGGAACAGTGAAGATCAGTGGTACAAAAGCTTATGTTCCTCAATCTCCATGGATACTGACAGGAAACATCAGGGACAATATTCTATTTGGAACTTCATACGACAATGCCAAATATTACAGAACAGTTAGAGCATGTGCATTGACAAAGGATTTCGAGTTGTTCAACTGTGGTGACCTAACAGAGATCGGAGAAAGAGGAATAAATATGAGTGGGGGACAAAAGCAAAGGATACAAATTGCTCGAGCAGCTTACCAGGATGCTGATATATATCTACTTGATGACCCTTTCAGTGCAGTAGATGCTCATACAGGCACCCAACTCTTTCGGGTCAGTGCTTCCTAGTCTCCACTTCTATATACTTGAATAAGTTATCTCAGCTCTTCTGAAATTTTATTTTGAAGCTACCGTTAAAAGAACTTCAACATTGGATGTTGTTTTAATTTTTTTTTTCAGGAATGCTTAATGGGAATTCTCAAAGACAAGACCGTACTTTATGTTACCCACCAAGTCGAGTTTCTTCCTGCTGCAGACCTCATTCTGGTAAGAGATATGCTTTACTGTTTAACTTTCAGAAAATTGGAATGAATGACTTTTGAGCACCACAGACACAGAGCACATAAAATTCACACAAGAAGCATGTACATTACATCTAAGATAAATCTATTATTGAACATCACTATATCAGTAATGGATGTATTGCTTGGTAATTGTACTTACACACCATGATATGCTATGTTTATGTAATCATATGCTTAACGGAGGGCTTGGGACATCCAGATAATAGAGTCTAGGTGTATTGAGGGTTGTGGACTTTAAGATTATGTAAGCGATTATAACTGACAAATGTAAACAGGTAATGCAAAATGGCAGAATAGCACAAGCTGGAACGTTTATTGAACTTTTGAAACAAAACATAGGATTTGAAACTTTAGTCGGTGCCCATAGCCAAGCCTTAGAGTCAGTCCTTGAAGTTGAAAATTCAAGAAGAATGTCCCAAAATCCAGTGCCCGATGACAACTCCATTACGGATTCCACTTCAATTGCAGACCTTTCAAGCACAGAGTGCAACTCAGAGCATGACCTTTCTGTAGAGATAACAGAAAAGGGAGGAAAACTGGTGCAAGATGAAGAAAGAGAAAAAGGAAGCATTGGAAAAGAAGTTTACTGGTCATATTTAACAACTGTGAAACATGGAGCTCTGGTTCCGATCATACTCTTGGCGCAGTCATCGTTCCAAATGTTACAGATCGCTAGTAACTATTGGATGGCATGGGCTTCACCTCCTACAAGTTACAGTGAACCAGTAGTAGGAATGAATATCATATTGCTTGTTTATGTACTACTTTCCGTTGGAAGTTCACTTTGTGTATTGATCCGAGCCACACTAATTGCAATAACTGGACTTTCAACAGCACAAAAGCTCTTCACAAACATGCTGCATAGTGTATTCCATGCTCCGATGGCTTTCTTTGACTCAACCCCAGCTGGTAGAATCTTGAACCGAGTAAGTAACTACATGAAGTCAGCATTATTGCTTGTTTAATCTGTCACAATCACTGTGATATTTTTTTTTTGCCAATACAAATATTTAGTTATTTAAAATTTTTGTTCTGCAACCTATTCTATTATATAAAATATTTATTTTAAAGTATCAAAATTTATGTTTTGAGAAGTTTATTATGTCGAAATTTGTCTTTAGTTTCCTAATAATTTACATATAAATTTTTGTAATTTTTATCAACTTTTTAAACGTACCTACTTATGGTGAGTTATTTAACTCACGCTAATACTAATTTTTTTTGAACTGCACGCTAATACTAATTACAATTTAATTAATATCTAATATACATCTAAATTCTTTTTTTTTTTTTCCAACACCAGACCCTTAACTCTTTGCCTTAGCGGGCGTTAATAAATTCCCACTTCCACAACAAAACACCTAGCCAAAAGTATTAGGACTTTCAACAGAGCCCCTCACCAATCACGGAAAGGCTCTGATCAAGTTCATCAAATATTTGCTCTCATAAGTCACGCGTAGCATCTTTTGCAGGCATCTACAGACCAAAGTGTTCTAGACTTGGAAATGGCACACAGACTAGGTTGGTGTGCTTTCTCAGTAATACAGATTCTAGGGACCATAGCAGTAATGTCCCAGGTTGCATGGGAAGTATTTGTAATCTTCATTCCAGTATCTGCAATCTGCATATGGTACCAAGTAAGCATTTCTTTTCCCTTTGATAAATGATATATCCAGAGCTGATTACTCAATTGCATATTGACAGTAAACTTTTTCTTACTATTACCACATTTTTATCTGCAATTCATTATGGAAAATGAAATTCTTGATGGAAAAGAAAAGAGTTTCCTATTATTTATGCAATATGAAAAGCATGGAAACTGTATGCCACGAGAAGAAATTTAGTTAAGCTAATGATCATATGGCCTTCAGAGTTTTTGCTCATTCTGGAAACTGATGTAAAAATTAACATGATTACTTCAGCGATATTACATCCCAACAGCAAGAGAACTGGCTCGCTTAGCAGGAATACAGAGAGCTCCAATTCTTCACCACTTTGCAGAATCATTAGCAGGTGCTGCAACAATTCGTGCTTTTAATCAAGAAGATCGTTTTATTGAAGCAAACCTTGACCTTATAGACAGCCACTCAAGGCCTTGGTTTCATAATATGTCAGCCATGGAATGGCTTTCTTTCAGATTGAATTTACTGTCCAATTTTGTATTTGCCTTCTCACTGGTCTTGCTGGTGACCCTTCCTGAAGGAATAATCAACCCAAGTAAGCACGTGAATATATAAGCTCAGATTGCTTTATTTCCATGATATCAAAACCGGTATCATGATATTAAATTATTTGTCTTCAGTGATTAGGATAGAAGAGCAATCAATGATGTAGTAGACAGGTAAAGAAACAAGAAAGCATGAGTTCTGATCTAAAACTGGATAATTTCATTGCAGGCATTGCAGGATTGGCAGTAACATATGGGATAAATTTGAATGTTTTACAAGCTTCAGTCATATGGAGCATGTGCAATGCAGAAAACCAAATGATTTCTGTAGAAAGAATTCTTCAGTACTCAAATATAACAAGTGAAGCACCCCTTGTGGTTGAAGAGTGCAGACCTTCAGACAACTGGCCAGAAGTAGGAACAATATCCTTTAAAGATTTGGAGGTAAGAACCTTCTGGAAGGTTTTAGCAGTTTAAAGAGAGAATTAGTTCGGAAACTGTGATTTCTAGTCTAAAGAGTCAAGAAATTCCAATTAAATCATCAAAATTTGAAATTTAATGAAAAAAGAAATGAAATTACAACTGCTGCTATAAAAAATCAGTTGTTCTCAACAGCTAAATTTTATTATCAGTTATAAACAGTGTGTTCTATTTTCTCAATGCAAGTGGAATTTTGTTGCAGGTTCGTTATGCAGAACATCTGCCATCTGTCTTGAAGCACATTAGCTGCACATTTCCAGGAAGGAAAAAAGTTGGTGTTGTGGGTAGGACAGGGAGTGGGAAATCAACCCTCATACAGGCCATTTTCAGAATTGTTGAAGCCAGAGAGGGAAGCATTACAATCGATGATGTGGACGTTTCCAAGATAGGCCTTCATGACTTAAGATCAAGGCTTAGCATCATCCCACAGGACCCAACAATGTTTGAAGGAACAGTGAGAGGCAACCTTGATCCACTAGGGCAATACTCTGACAATGTAGTATGGGAGGTAATTATTGATGTAGCTAAGAATGCATTCCTATATCAATGTGTGAGAAGAAATCTGAACTCAAAGACAATGTTAAATTTTTCAAAAACAAGATTGATTTCAAGTTTAATCTGACATGCTAATTTCTTGATGGAAATAATTCAGGCTTTAGATAAGTGTCAACTGGGTGATTTGGTACGTTCAAAACATGAAAAGTTGGATGCCACAGGTATAATTCATCTGTTTGGATCTTTTATATGTAGTTGATTTGTATAAGCTTTTCCAATAAATAAATAAAAGAGGAACATGGGAGGCAATGACAGTGATTGAAAATGGAGAAAACTGGAGTGCGGGGCAGAGACAGTTATTCTGTCTGGGAAGAGCCCTACTAAAGAAAAGCAGCATCCTTGTGCTGGATGAAGCAACAGCATCAGTCGATTCAGCAACAGATGGGGTGATACAGAAGATCATTAGCCAAGAGTTCAAAGATAGGACAGTGGTGACAATAGCTCACAGAATCCACACGGTTATAGACAGTGATCTTATTTTGGTCCTTAGTGATGGTAAGCCCATAATTCAGAAATATAAATTTTGAAATAATGAACTCAGAGCTTATATAACACGTAAAAGATTTTGGTGTCAAACAGGAAGGATTGCGGAGTATGACACGCCGGTAAAACTGCTAGAAAGAGAGGATTCTTTCTTCTCAAAACTTATAAAAGAATACTCGATGAGGTCACAGAATTTCAACAACTGAACCAAAATGAAAAAGAAATGTGTTGATAGCAGACACAAAGAGAGTAGAGCAAGTTGATTGAAATGCGTTAATTTAACCGGTTAGAGGAGCAGCAAGTACAGTAGCAGGCCTAGTAATCGACTTAAAGTGGTCGTAAGGAGAAGAAAGGAGTGAATTTGTACTGCAAAATAAAATGAAGATAGTGAAACCCTGATAGTCCCTCTTCCAGTTCCTGAGAATCAATAAAAATAAATGATCCAACCTTACACAGGGATAAAGTAGTTTATGTAATCCTTATCATTTTGGCCCAGAATGATAAAATAAAAATTTTTAATTTTTCTGGAAATGCTTGACTTGTTTTCTGAATTAAACTTTCTAACAGTCCGCTGTGGATATTGATTCTAAAATAATTAATTAAGCTCAATAACAAAATCTCTATCCAAAGGAGATATGAAAAACCAAGGGATTTGTATGACCCAAATTATTACCTTATTACTGGAATGAATTATTTGTAAGTGCCGTCAAAATCTTTCTTCGTCTTCTCCTTCTTTGTTTGGCCGACTCCAGGTATGGTTTATAGAGGTTTTCTTTTTTGGGCTTAAAATGTGGGTCGGGCTTGACCATTTATTTAGAATGGATATTGCCTGAGAGAGACAAATCACACCAAAGAATGGCTGCTGCTGCTGCAACTCTGGCGACGCAACTGCGGTTGAACGTAGAAGCCGGAAATTATTCGAATAGCAACAGCAAGGAGAAGAATGGCGATTTTACTCCCGAGCGAATTGCACGGACTCCTAAAAACCATTCTTTGCCTTACCTTTCTCTCGCTAAGCCATCTTGGGTGGTCAAAACTGAGGCAACCCCCTTTCTCTCTCTACTTTTATTTCCTTTGTTTTATAAGACTGGTTACGAGGCTTAGTGTAGCGATTTCGGTCTTTTTGAATATTCAACTCACGGCGGTTGTGCTGGGAATTGTTAAAAGTCGCCGCTAAATAAATAATGCTCGTGTTTTTGTCAGTCAAATGTGCGGAAGGAAATAAGGAAGAAACCTAATCCGCCATGCGTGGTTTGCAAGGGCAGTGGACGAGTCGATTGTCACTATTGTTCTGGAAAAGGTCCTGTCTCCATTTTTATACCTTAAATAGCATGGGCGTCCGCTATGATGTTTAAATCTCTTTCCTCTGTTGATATATTATATCTTGGCTGACTGTTGTAGGCCGGACAAACCTTGTTCATTTACCAATGCTTCCTAAAGGGGAATGGCCAAAATGGTGAGGTATCAAACTATTGGCTCAATCGAATTTTCACGAATGCTTTAATATAAAAACTGTGCTTGCAATTGTTTCCGCAGGTGTAGGACTTGCGGCGGTAGTGGCCTCAGCTACTGCTCCCGTTGCCTTGGCACGGGAGAGTATAGGTATATAATGGGATTCCACTTCATGAAGATGGACTCCGATGACACCCAAGCTTTACAGGAGCATCAAAGTCGATATATCAAGGGACATCTTACCGCAGCTGATCAACTTCTTAATGGAGACCAATTTGCATAAAGACCAGCCAGTCTGAAGACAGATGCTGCTTTCTGCTGGTGCTTGGATGTACAACAGCAAACAGTAGTGCTGCGAGATGGCACATCATCTTCAATGATTGTAGTATCACAATAAGGACACATTTTTTCTGTTCAGTATAGCTTTATTTTCACTGTCCGAAACTTAATTGTCATGGATTGCTGGGATACCGAGTATTCACACCCGATCCATTTCTTTACAGTACATACTAAAGATTCCAATGTTAAAATATGTAGCAGCAACTCCTTTAATTAATAATTACAAACATGTTCTCTGCTCTTCTTTTAACTTAAGCATCAATGCATCGTTACATTTAACGCCAAGCCCTTCCATGATGCCAAACAATGTAAATAAACCAAGTTCGAATGTAAATACTGTGCATTGGTGACTCATAAACAAAAAATCACGAGGACAAAATTAGAAAAAAAAGAAAAACAAAAGGAAAATAAATAATATTCCCCCAAGCCCCCATTTTAGCTGACATTTAGATCAATCCGTTGCGTTGGAAAATACATTAGGAACCTTTTGTGGATTCATCCCCAGGCATGTCATCTTCATCATGGTAGATATTCTCTTCCATTTGCCATATCTGAAGGATATTATCTTCGGCCACACTTGCAATAACCCAGTCTTCACAGGGATTCCATGAAAAATCTGATATTTTACTTGTGTGGCCACCATGAATAAAAAGCAGTTCTGGAGGACCATCTTCAGCATCTTCTGGTGTCTGTTCTTCATCAATCCTGCAAAAGAAACTCCACGTTAACAATCCCAATTCTCACTGAGAAGAGATCCAGCTATCCACTTTTTAGTCTAAGAAAGATAAGAACATTATAGGATCTCAATTAATGAAGTGAAATCCATTCAATACAAATCTCAACTAAATAATTCACATATTCATTCAAGGCCAAACCTGCTAAGATCCCACACCATAAGCCTTCTACCAAGGCAGCAAGAAGCTAAGATAGTTTCATTCTTGGGATTCCACCCAACTTGGAAAACCTCCTCCCTGATGAAATCAAAAAAAAAAAAAAAAAAGGTTTTCCACACTTGGAAAACCTCCTCCCTGATGAAATAAAAAAAAAAAAAAGGTTCATGAGACATAAAAGCAAGTTCCAGTTGCTAAATGTTTGTATCTTTGGTATGTGTGCACGACGTGCTGCAATTATTGGTTCTAGAGGTCGACAAGAGTACCAAAGAATGCACCACAAGCAGATGACTACTTACTTGTGAGCAGTCAAATTGTGTGAAGCGCTCGTTGAATCTTACGTATAATGCAAATAACTTAACCAGTTTTATCAGTGGATCCGCGTTGCAACAACAAAAAAAAAAAAAAAAAAAGGTTCATGAGACATAAAAGCAAGTTTCCAGTTGCTAAATGTTTGTATCTTTGTATGTGTGCACACGTGCATGCAATATTGTTACTAGAGGTCGACAAGAGTACCAAAGAAATGCACCACAGAGAGACTACTTACTTGTGACAGTCAAATGTGTGAAGCGCTCGGTTGATCTTACGTATATCAAATAACTTAACAGTTTTATCAGTGGATCCCGTTGCAACAACCCATTCATTGAAAGGATTAAAAGCCAAGCAGTTAACCTACCACATATCAGCAGAAAAAAAAAAAAAAAATCTGAGCCTTCGACATGTCTAAGATAGCCAACAGTATGGTATTTAAAGTAACAATGTTTCCTCATTAACACTCAACTAATACAGGGTAAGGAACTTGTCTTTGGTCCCATATTGGAAGTATGAAATTTCGATGCGAAGTTTATATGAACTTAAACTCTCCAACCTAAACGACTAGCTTTTAAGGTATAAAAAAAAAAAAAAAAGGAATTATAAACAAGATTTAAACCGCAACTTGTGTGCATCTAGGCAATGGAGACAGAGTTTGATCAGATAAGGAACAGGAGGGGTTCGATACTATGGAACTTAATGAAGAGAGAAAAAGCATAAAAAGTAAGAACCTTCCGCAGCAAAATACATATAAATAATCATTAAGCCTCTAAATATGTGTGTGCAGGCATGCACTAATTTATGGCTAAATCATAAAATAGTTAGAAGCTTACCTCACTCTGGTGAGCGACTACTGATTGGACAGGCTTGGTGACTGCTGGAGTTCTGAGATCCCATATGAGTAGGTATTGATCATCCCCAACAGAGCCAAATAAGTATTCATGTCTAAGATGCCATGCTACATCTTCTACAACGCCTTCATGAACCTATTTTAGCATAAAATTGAAAGATTATCATAATTTATAAATAATTAACAGCAGTCAATGTTCTCTGTTTCAAATTATTAGAAAATAAGTATAGATCTAGTGATGTATAGTAGAATAAAAGGGGAATGCATTGCATGGATAGACAAACAGACTTTAAAGGTTTGCATAGCATCTAGGGTCCTGTTCTTGGGAGTGGAATCGATGTCCCACAAGCAAATTTGAGCATCATCAGAACCGCTAAGCAAGTGGCCTTGTTTGAACTTACTCCAAGACAATCCATAACCTTCAGTGCTGTGACCCCTCAGCCTCAAATCGGGATTACAGGTACCGTCGAGAGGCGGCTTAGATGGGTGCTTGCTGTAGTCAAAGACATAAACTTCAGCACTCACAGTCTTGGTGGCAATTATAAAAGGGTTTTGAGGCATATAACGAGCCCGGTTAACTTCTCCATCGTGATTAATCTGCTGAATTATTTGGACCTGCAAAAAGACTGAAAATTTTATTAATTTGAGTTGAAAAAATAAACAGTAGAAAACAGAAGCTTTAGATAGGAGAAACCTTGCCGTTGGCAGCTCCAAAGCCACCGAAATCAGAGCGATCATCGTCGTAGTGGCGGGCATCGTTCTCAGCATCACCGAGGGGAAGCTGGACCTGGGCGAGCATGAGATAGTTGGGCTCATTCTCGGAGGTGTGAGTACCGAGAATCATCTTCTGGTTGGAGTAGTCCTTGCCCGGAGGCTCCTCGCGGTCCGGTAACCACTCGACTGTAAGGGAAGGCCATTCGAGGGCATGGGTGATAACCAGATCGTAAAGAAAAGGAGTGTTCTTTTTCCATATTTTGTATTCTTCGTTTATGAGCCTCTCCTCTATCTCCCCCCTCATTTCCTCTTCGTCTTTCCCCATTGTTCTTCCTAGATTCTCTACGTTTCGATCGGATTTAATTCGATTATGCGCTTCAATTCTCTCTCTGAAGGATGCAGACTAGGGTTTTTTGGGATACGGTTGAGAAAGTATGAATTGGGGGATTGCAGAGAAGGTGCCGAAGTTATTCCCGCCAAAAGCAGGAGGAGGATTCACTGGTCACTATTCGGCCAGTCGGTTGGTCTTTTATGCTGTGTTTGGATACAAAGAAAATATTAAAGGAAAATATATGAAATAAATTTTGTTATTGACGTTTGAATATCTGAGAAAAACATAATAAGAAAAAATGATTTTCTGATTGTTAAAATTATGAGTTTAACAATTATAACAAAAATACAATAAATAGGAGCAAATTCCTTCAGCATATTTTCATCATTCTCAAAAAAGAGAATTAAAAAATTCATTTATTCTTCTTCTCAATTTTAATTCATCCTAAATTTTCCACCAATCCAAACATTCTATAACCACTTATCCCGCGTTTATTAACAACACTACTGGCCTTTTATTATTTTGCGTTCTTTTCGTTTTTTTACTCCCAATCTAACTTTCCAGAATTTCCACCAACATTAGATTTTGTTCCAAGAAAAACAAAAATATTTATATCATCTGAGACTTACATAAACGCGTGTCAAACCAACAGAACTGAACTAAGTAGCTTCAACACAATAGCGTTTTCAGTTTAAGCGAAAGAGAGAATCCCTTTCTATATTTTCTCGCTCTCTTTCATTTTTATCTCACTTAGGTCTCAAAAATAACCAAAATACAAACCTAATTTTCAGATTGATGACTGATACAAAAACTAGCAGGCATCATGGCATCCTCACAATGAAAAATCCTTCTTTGTGAACACAATCTAATAGCAACAGAAAGAATCACATCACTTGAGTAACAAAATGTCAATTAAAGAAAGAAATATAGCAACAAAAAACAAACTATGACAAACAAAACCGAAAGGTAAAATTGCAGTTATCATTTCCAGCATAATATGCATAGAGGAGACACATAGGTTGAAAATCCAAGCACCAGCTCGCCTAACCACATGGAAGTCATCCACATTTTACAATTCAGTTGCTATAAGATATGAAGGGGAATAAGTTCTTTTCAGCTGTGTGCAATGAAGGAAGAAGGTTGCAACCAAAAAAACATCATGAACATCGTATATCATTAATAAACTCCATATGGAAGAAGTGCAGCAGCCACAATTCTCCCTTCTTCGTTCAGTATGTTGTAAGTTGATGCAGCATTCCTCTGCAACAATAGCCAACTGAATTAAAAGGTTGTAAGAGAAGCCATCAATAAAAGTGAACATGTGAAAATGACCTTTGAGACTCACCACTGGTTTTTCATTGGAATTATTAGTTTATACATTGGATATAGAACATACTGCATACTACAGACAAAACTTCTACCGATTACAATGTAATTTAAGAAATGTTAAGAGTACAAGGCTTTAAAAACAATTGATAAGTGATGTTATTATTTTAACAGGATTTTTGGCATGATATTATAATTACAGATCTAATTCTTCTGTTTCCAGTGAGGTCGTCCATGTCTCCTATTGAACCTATAGAAAAATTAATGAAGATGTGGACACAACATGTACCCAAATCCATAAACATAAAAACTTACTGAGTCAATAGCTTCCAATTTCATTCCAGTAGACCGAATGAAGTGCCTAACTTCTGGATTTATTTGTTGAATCTGCCTTCCACAGCCAAGAATCAAAATCTCTGCTAAGAGAGAGAGAGAGAGAGACAGAGAAATAAAGAAAAAAGAAAAAGTGAGAAGCTAATAAAACAACTGTCATTTCAGGGGGTTGATTAGTGTTCAATGCACAAAGGAAAAGAGTATTGAGGTCCTTCATTAATATCCAGAAAAGATATGCATGTAGAGAGACCTCCATTGTGTCAGAAAGCAGAAGAATAAGCAATTATTTGTCAATTTTTCTATCTCCCTTGCTGTGCGTCTGTCGCACAACTCTTTAACTAGCATTCAGAATATAGATGAGTGATTGGCCACTTGTGCTTGGAACAAGGTTACATACATTTCTTTACTTCCAGAAATTATTCATTTGGAAATTTGTTCGAACACATGAAATCGAAATAAAAAATCTCAATTATCTTAAACAAAACAGAATAATCAAACTCCAGGACCATCATCTCCAGAGAAATACAAATATCTTTTCTTTTTTTTTTTTAAGTTTTAATGCAAAATTGTAGTAAAACAGTCCAATGACCAACTATTTTCAAAGTAACTATTGAAGTTTGGGCATAGCATACAATGTCAATCCACCCAGGTAACATTCTAATAAATGAAGTCAACTTTTAAAGAAGGTGAAACATTGAACATTGTTTCTTTAAAATACCAGTTAATGGAAGTAGGCATAGAGTCAGCACCTAAAACCTAGGATTCTACCTAGATAAACAAGAGATATGCGCCATGTACGGCATAAACAAAGACATGAGGTTCTGAAACAACACATCAAAGTGCTTTCAATATATAAGTATGAATTTACTATCTCCAAGACGAAAGAAAAAATCCAAAAATTGTGCTATAGCATATTTCTATCAGAACTCAGAGATAGTTAACCTAAATGAATGAATTGGAATTTTGAACAGGTGCACAAGTTGTGAGAAACATCAAGGCACTAAAACTGTTGAACTCTCACCTGGTATAGGCCGCACAATTTGGAAGATGGATAAGCTGCATCATGTCCAAAAAATAAAAGAATAAAGAATAGAAAACGAAATTGATAGAAATGTGAAAAAGAAGTGCAAAGTGAGCAACCCCAACTCGTATTTGAGCAAATAAAAGTACTAAGACGTAGTAAATTTATCTCAGTGCCATCGTGAAATAAATATGATCAAAATCCTAATTTTGGGCATTAAAGAGGCATAATCCGAGAGTGGTCTTGTAAATTTGAGAAATCTTCTCAATTAGAAGATGGCATTGGAAGAGATAAAAGACAATAACATAAAACAAACACTTTATCTGCATATTTTAAAGAAAAAGAAACGACCTTTGAGGAGTTATATGAGACAAGTGTTTGGGAGACCAAGATAAAAGCAAGTTGCCTACGCAAAGCAAGCTACCCTCGTATTCAATCCCGTTCACTGTGAATCCCGAGTCAGTAAACCTAAGGAAAAACAAAAGGATTATGAATAATTCGGAGAGGGATTTCGAAATAATTTAAAAAAAAAAAAATACCCTTGAAAGCGGAGTTGGTCCAGGGGAACGTTGTCGATGAGATTGATCTGATCGTAGAGAGAGAAAGCTCGTCTCAGCGACGGCAAAGCTTGACCCCTTCCGTCGATCGCCGGTTTTGGGGACTCATAGCACAGACTTTGAATCAAGTTCGGCAATGTTTTCACCGCTCTCTGTCTTATTAGTGCCATGTTAGCATTTCTTTTGATTTTCACTTCCTTCCGCTTTCACCGTATCACCAAGTCCTTTCTTTCTTTCTCTGGTAGGGCTGGGCCTCTACTTGCGCCTTCAGTTCAGCCCGATACTACGTTATTATTATTGTTATTGTTATATTAATATTTTTTATAAAGTAAGACTCGTTTATTTCTGTAAAATAATTTATAGGTAAATATTTTCTATAATTTTTCCGTTATTTGAGGTTCAAATAAATAAGTCAACAAAAAATATTTTTTTAATCAAAGGAAAATTAAGTCATTTTTCAAGAAAAATAATTTTTATTTTCGTGAGAGTAAAACATTTTTCGAATATTGACAATTTTATAAATTCATATTTTTTAATTTATTAATTATCATAATTATTATCATCAATCACCATTTACTACCGACCACCACCATTGGCCACCATCACTGGCCTCCAGCGCTTTCATAATTTATTTTCTTTTTACATTCTTTTCATATTTAATAATAAAATTTTTAAATTATAAAATTTTTATTATTATTAATATCTTTTATGTTCTTAAACACTTTAATATTTTTAATTAATTTTCAATATTATAATCAAGCGACAAAAAATAAATTATTTGAAAAAAAATTTTTCAGCAAATTATTTTTCACCCATGTTGCCACAACAGTGTTTTCCCAGTTCAGCCCTTTATATTTTTTAATTACAATATTATCCTCTCACTTTAGCCGTTTGGTACCTGTTTAAACAACAGTGAGTCGATGATGTTATTTTACTATCAGTGTGCTACCCTTCTGACTTCAATTTCTACGATTCTTTGATTATTTAATAATTTATTTATGTTTTTTTTTTAAAGAGATTTCTTTATGTGTTTTTAGAAGAATAATTTCTTCATGTTAAATATTATGAGAAATTTCCAAAAGGTAATTAATATGTATCATTAAAAATTATTTCCTCTAGAACTTGAGAAATTTGAAAACACAAAAAATAGCCTACTTTTATATATTTAATAATTTTTATAGTAAAAAGTGATAGGATAAAAAATATTAAATGTGAATTTTATGCTTCTCATAAAAAAAAAAACTATACTATTAAAAGTATATTTATATTATAAACATATGCGTAATCTTTAAATACCATATCATATTTAATAATAATCTTTTTTTTTAATTAATTAAAATGTTGAAGTATTATGTATTTAATATTTTCTTAAAGTATTTTTAATTATACAGTTATAATTGATTTTACCTTAAACCATTTTTCTTAATTAAAATTTTTTTAAAAATATTATATAATTACCATATTTATATCCACGATAAATATATAATATGATTTTTTTAGTTTATCTTAGAATTTAGATTTAAATAAAAATTTATGTATTCAATCAAAATTAAATTACTTTTATTTTTTTCGAAAAAATAAAATAAAATCCTTAGATATATTATATCTTTATCATATTTAATATATACCTTATATAGTAAATAATATAATTTATTATTTTATCCAATAAAATTTAGATCTGAATAGAAAATTAATATAACCAATTAAAATTAAATTATCTTTGTTTTTTAACTAATAAAATTAAAATCCTCAACAATAATTTTTATCGATCCATATACTTAAAGCATTTTTGGCAATTAAATGTTCTCCATATACTTATCTAGACTAGTCCATGGCCCCACCCACTGTAAATCAAAAAAATGAAAATAGAAATTTTTAAAAATTAATCTTTTTTTTTTCTTTTTTCCGGTGGTTAAGTAAATCCCTTCAACAAAAGGTCCGCGACGATGTGATTTATAACCAAGTTATTGTGGTGGAGTTTGAGTGTTAAACAATTAATTAATCGATCAATACTCAAATTGAGCAACTTATGGAATCCCTGTACTGCTCAACCCTAAACCCACTCCTTCAGTTTCATGCTAATTGACAAGACACAGATAAAAATTTATATAAAAAAATATGGATCAAACTTCAGTGTTGTCGTCTAGCTTTCCAGCCTTGCACTGGAACTTGATGTACTTGTACCATTTTGCACATAAAATGTAGACGATGAAATCTGCGCTTGTGAGAGCCGCTAACAGAAAGTAAAATCTATCAAGGTGACCTTTGTTAAGGTTTCCTGGTATCCATCCTGGCATGTCATCCGTAGTAGAGATTTTCATGACAATGGCGACTAGCAAGCTGCTGACGTAGTTCCCTAGAGATATGGAGGTCATGCACAATGCGCTCCCGAAGCTTTTTAATCCGTCAGGTGCTTGCCCATTAAAGAATTCTAGTTGACCCACGTACATGAACACCTCAGACGCTCCTATCAGTACATACTGAGGAATTTGCCAAAATATGCTTAAAGAACTCTCACTTTGGCACGCACTTGTACAATCTGTCCTTTTTTGTATATGTGCGTATTTCAACCTGAATAGCTCTACAACCCCCGCTGAGACCATTGCCATTATTGCAATAACCAGACCGATTCCCATTCTCTGAAGCTCAGTGAGTCCTCTTGGGTCCTTCCTTAGTCTGGCCACCAGTGGATCCAGAACTCGCCTATATATGAATATAAACATTGCAACACTGATGATGTCAAAACTAGACATGCTTGCAGGAGGGATATGGAAGCTTGAAATGGTCGTTTTCATAGCAGCGCCTTGTTCCACAAACAGCGATGCCATTTGAGTGAATACTACAGAGTAAAGAATTGTGCATAGCCAAATTGGGAGAAGCCTCAGTATGCATTTAACCTCTTCCACCTGAGTAACTGTGCAAAGACGCCACGGATTCATGTTGTGCTCCCCATCCTTAGAATAATCTTCGGGTGTGATAAGGGCTGCTCGGTCTAAAAATCTGCCATATAAATATTTAATTGACGTGGAGTGATTTAGTTTAGTAAATTATGAAGCATTCTAAATCATAGACCAGTTAATTAATCAATAGTTATTATTAATCAACCTGAATTCGTTGGTGTGCAGTATCTTTCGATCTATATCTTGGGGTTGGAAAGGCTCTTTTCTCCTGTCTGTCAAACCAAACAGATCCTCCTCCTGATTTTGCAATCTCTGAATTTTCCATTTCCTTGTTGCGGCAACCACCACTTGACAAACCCTAGAGAGAGGATTGCCTTTGGGTTTAAAATGTCTATACCTAGGAGTCCCGCTAAGAAACAAGACCAATGCCAAAACAGCAGAAGCAGTTGATGCCCAAAATCCCAGGGCCCACATCCCTTGGTCCTCGAAGTAGCCTAATATAGTGTTTGAAAAAAGAGAGCCCAGATTCAGAGCCAAATAGAAGTAGCTGAAGAAGGCTATCTTGGAGTGACCTTCTTCCCGGTCCTCTTCATCAAACTGATCAGCCCCGAAGGTAGCTATGTTAGGCTGGTATCCACCATTTCCTAGGGCAATAAGGTAGATGGAGAGGTAGAAGAGCCCAATATGCAAAGATGAGTGGGATCCACATGGAACTTGTTCCTTTCCACATCCTTTGGGTTTAAATAAGAATATGTAGGAAGACAAGGACGATGACACCAAGCCCTGTTTTCCAATTAAATACACTCCATAAACTTTATTAATGTAGAAAATACATTCCATAATTAACTAGTGATTATTGTTTACTTACAAGGACAAAGATGAACTGGAAGATGGCGCAGGTCTTATACCTGCCCCAATAAGAATCGCTGAGGAAGGCTCCCAATAGGGAGAAGATGTAAACTGTTCCTGTCCATTTGCTCACATTGTTTGCAGCATCAGCGTTGTCTTGGCCCAACACTCTTGTCAGAAACAGTACCAGGTTTACTCCCACTCCAAAGAATGCTAACGTTGCTAGCCCCTGATTCACTGCCAAAAGTGCTACGTTATTATTGCTATTTTACATTTCTTTTAGTCAAGGAATCCTAGTCCTAAGAATATATAGGTGATGTACAAACTAATTTATTTATATTAATTATTTAGTCCTACTATCAGCAGGGAAGCTAATTTAAACACTTTCGTTAGGATTATCAAGAGAAAATCATCAAAATCGCAGTGAAGCCAAAAATATTTTCTCGCGAAGTCAAGAGTTACATAATTGCGATTCTAGAATGAAAAATGTTCAATTTTCCTTTACACTAGCCTGGAAAAGAGGTCTAGTCCTCGTAGAATATTAAAAAAAAAAAAAAAAAACACTCCAAAGAATGTTAACGTTGCTAGTCCTGATTCACCTGCCAAAGTGCTACGTTATTATTGCTATTTTTACACTTTTCTTTTAGTCCAAGGAATCAGCTAGTCCTAAGAATATATAGGTGATGTCGCAAACTAATTGTATTGTATTTAATTATTTAGTCTACTACACTCAGCCAGGGAAGCTAATTTAAACACTTTCGTAGGATTATCAAGAGAAAATCATCAAATCGGCAGTGAAGCCAAAAATATTTTCTCGCGAAGTCAAGAGTTACATATTGGATTCTAGAATGAAAAATGTTCAATTTTCCCCTTTAACACTAGCCTGGAAAAGAGGTTCTAGTCCTTCGTAGAAAATTAAAAAAAAAACAAAAATATTAAAAAAAAAAAAAAAAAATCACGGTTGACAATGAATAAATAAGCGAATTAGTGTAGGAATAGAATATATCAATACACATACATAAATTTAATAAATAAATAATTAAGTTTTACTCATGGGATGAAATAGCTTGTTCTCATGGGATATATAAGTAGTTAAAAAGAAATAGGTATTACCTAGTATGAGAATTCCAGCAAACCATCTTCCAGTCTTGTCTCTCATTGCTGGATGTCCATGTCGGTTCACGGTTCCATCACAGGTGTAAATCTCCTCTTCTTTCCGAATTGTCTCCCTCGCCTTATCCTGTATGTTTATCAAACATATATTTTTCTTTAACAATCAGATATCAAAATGCCTATATATATATATTAATTGTAAAAATATTAATTAGGCTTAATGCATAGGTTTCATGTCCTAGTATCACAATACTAGTATAAATGATATATTATATGAAAAATATTTGTCTATACAACGTTCATTTTCCCACCTATAGAGTAAACTACTGAAATTAAAAAATTTTTAAAAATTATTCATACTTTTTTTTAGTGTATGATCAAAAATATCTTGGCTTGAATAAGAATTTCTATTTTCATTAATTTTGTCCATATGTATTGTTATAGACCGGATCGAGGTAAGTTTTTCTCATACATATATATATTCTTTTAACTTCAATAACTAATTATAAGTTCAGATTCAGACGCCTGTGTAGGTCTAAGTTAAAACCAACTTGTCCACTTCAAACAAGCAGCCAAAATTAATTAGTTAAAGTGGAGAGGGACTAAAAGAAAAGTAGGTGAAAGTTGAGAAAGAAAGCTACTTAATTAGATCATCTTCTTGGAACAGTACATTCAAGAATAGCGTTTTAAAGATGAATAATAATAATAATGACAAATAATAATGCATACCCGTATGGAGTCGGAGCATGTATAAAACCAGAGAAAGAGAAACAAGAAACAGGAGAGAAGGAACAAGATTTTTATTGATATATAATTACATGAAGAGCAAAATAGAAGAGATTAATTGATAAGGGTTGAACGTGCACATATAAATATATAGTTGGATATATAGAAAACAAGAGAAATTTCACCTCTTTGCTAATGTTTAAACAAGCCATCGTTACGTTGCGCCACTGGAAATAGAATGATATTTATCTGTATATATGTATGCTATAACTAAAATGATATATGAAGATGATCAGAAACACAATCAGGAAAAAGAGCAAGAAAGTAGTGTAGATAATGTTTGGGAGAGGAACTGGGCGTGCACGTATGTATAGAGGTTGGCATGAAAATAGGCGGCTGAGATTATGTGGAGTGAGGGCCAGCTAGAAAGGAGAAGATGGCGAAATGAAAAGGAAATGTGTTTGAAAGAAGCAACATATTTGGAACTTGTAAGAGTGACATATATGGTCGCGGTGCAGTCAGGGCTGCTTCGTCATCGATGAATAAATCATGTGTTTTACACGTAATTAATGTAAGTCAGTCTAGCTGTCTTGATTTTGACATGCTTCCAACGTGACGTTAATTTATTATTTTAATACTTGTGTCCAGCACTTTGATTTTACTGGTGTTAAATGAATCACTGGTTAATTTGTCTATCCGGTAAAGAAAAGGGAGGATTACCCTACATTATAATATTCTTAGGTCAAGAAAAATAGTAGTGCAAAATAAATTAACATAAGTTAAAGTGGTTGATTTTAGGTGATGAGTGTCAATCAATACTAATTAATCATACCTCTTAGTAACGTTTAATGTATAAACTATATATATTTGTAATTTGTAAGCACAATCTTTTTATTATACTAGGTTGATTCCTTTAGGCAGCCAAAACCTTTTATTCGTGATTTTTTTTTTTTTTTTTTTTTTTTTTTTTTTTTGAATCTGAAAAAAAAAAGAACTTCATTAATTCAGCTACAATATATAACAGAAGTGCATGGAGGATCAGGGGGGGGGACAAAGCAGAAAAGAACATGTTACATTTGGCATAGGAATGCGGGCAACTGTATTAAAGCGTTGCCTTTTTCACCCAACACAAAACAAGATACTAACATTGCAGTAAAACTAGTGCCTTGTTGTATTGCTTAGATCGACCATATATAATTTGTTATTACGTACTTACATTTCGATTTAAGTCATAAAAAGTGAGGTGTAGCTAATTACGGTATTATAACAAATTAAAGTCAAAAAAACAGAACACAAATATGGAATGTATTAAGTATTAAAGATAGCATTAACGAGCTAGCCGTAAATGTGAGCTAGGGCCAATAAATATCTTTATATTAATGGAATTGCGTGTATGTGATGCGTATATTAATTACCTATACTGTGGACAAAAAACAAATTAAAAATTTTTTGGTACTACGGGAGCATTTTTTTTTTTTTTTTTTTTTTTTGAATCTGAAAAAAAAGAACTTCATTAATCAGCTACAATATATAACAGAATGTGCATGGAGGATCAGGCAAGCAGAAGAACATGTTACATTTGGCATAGGATGGGCAACTGTATTAACTTGCCTTTTTCACCCAACAAAAAAGTACTAACATTTGCATAAACTAGTGCCTGTTGTTATTGCTTAGTCACCATATATAATTTTATTACGTACTTACATTTGATTATAGTCATAAAAAGTGGGTGGTAGCTAATTAGGTATTACTAACAAATTAAAGTCAAAAACAGAACACAAATATGAATGTATTAAGTATTAGTAGCATTACGAGCTAGCTAATGAGGGCCAATAAATATTTAATTAATGGAATGCGTGTATGTGATGCGTATACTTACGTGGACAAAACAAATAAAAATTTTTGGTACGTACGGAGCATGTGGACGCCCATAAACCAGTATTCATTTTTTATCAGAAAACTGAAAAATCATTCTGAATCCGATGTCTCCTTCCTCTGACTCTGAGAAGAATTAGGGAGGGAGGCCTCTTTTTATTCTCCCGAAAAAGCTGACCAATCACACTCATTAATGTCTCCTTCCCTTTTCCGAGAAACACACTCGCTGGTGACTCACCGTTGCCCCATTTTACATCTTTAGTTGATAATAATTCCATGTGTAAAAACAAATCACTTGCTTGCTTCAGTCTGCAAATATAAATTATTGTTTTAAATGGAAAAAACAAACAAAGTGCGCTTAATTTATGAATTTAATGATGACATTTGGATGATTAAAAACTATATTAATTATTTTGTTCTAGCTCATGTCTAGATAGTATTTGTTTTAACTTGTACGTATCCGTATAGAAGCTAAACTAAACGATTAAGTAGGTATACTCCTGGATTTGGGAAAATTGAACCGGAAGCATGGAATGGGTTGTTATTGTTGGGGGATTTTGCAAGACACAAGCAACATTTATACTGCCACATTTTGCGAATTCTTAATTAATTGTATACTATATTACGAGTAGTAGTAGACTAGTAGTAGTAGTGCATACGGTTACTCCATTATCGAAATCTTTTTGAATAGAAATTATGAAAAAAAGGTGAATGGCTGGACTTTGAGTTGAAAAACCAAAAAGAAACAAAAGGCCGGCTAGCTGTATCGAGTATAACTAAGAAAAAAGAACTTTACAAGATAGTGATGGTGACGGCTGGATGGTGCCAAAAGGTCAAAAGTGCATCTATGGTAGGTTAGACTTGGAATCCGATTTCCCTTTCCCTTCCTTCTGAAATATCCTTCCAGCTAATTCAATTCATGCACGGCTGTCCGTCTTTTTAATAATTTCTTTGAGCTGAGGGGGATTGCTTATCAGTTATCACCGCTGGCTAGATCATATCAAATAATAATGCATAAGCACTCCCAAATATCTTAGCCATCTGCTTATCATCTGCAGGTTGCAAATTTAGTATTCATATCCAAATTCAAATTGAATGGATGTCCACAGATTGACCACTGAAAATCGCTCTCCTTGTCTACTTGTCTTTCAACTTGTCCTGCTCTTTGTTTAATACGAAATATGACAAAATATAATACTACTGCTTTTAAGTAATATATATTGATAATACCTTAGTAGCTGCCTGCTGATCATAAAGTTTTTACAACGTTTCATTTCAGATTCTTCTCCCGCAGATAGGAATTAAATTGGATGCTGCAATATTCATCCCTAAACTGGAATCTCATCCTTAATATCACACCCTATTGGGTATTGAATATTATAATCGTTCCAAGCTCAATGGATTCCATATTTCATTGACATCCATTTACGTGCACTTGCGCGAACCGTATTCATTTTAAAATTAAAATTTAAAATTACATTGATGAAAAAAATCAAAGTATTTGTTTAAATATGAAAAATAATACTCTATGTGTAAGAAAATATAAAAATAGTACAATCAATAGATAAATTATTACACAGACAATTGTCTAGAAATGAGAAATTAAAAGTTTAATTACAAATTTATTAAATTAAAGAGCACATAAATAAAAATTGAATATTGAATTGAAAACATATTTTTATAAGTTTGAGTCAATTAAACATTTTCAACCGTACAATAAACATATAAATGAGAATATATATAAAGAAAAAATATAAACGAAATTATTAAGAAAGTACATCTCGAACTCGCAATCATTTAATTTAAAGTGTTGCCTTTTACCAAGATATTAACAAAATATATATCATTTCTACTGTAACAATAGGGCTGGATTCATAAATAATGCAAACGCGATGTCTTAATGCTACTTCCGTTTAAAATATTTATTACACTTAAAAAAATAATTTATTTTAAAATATTTATCATATTTATGATTTCAAGGAATAATAAATATATTTTTTAATATTTACCCTTTTTATATAATCAATAATTATTACTTCAATTTAATGATTTTTTTAGAGAATTAATATTAAATGAAAGGTCATATGCATAATTTACTCAATAACTTATTGTAACTTAGAGAAGTCTAATAATTTTCTTAAGAAAGATAAAATTCTAAATATAATAAATATTATGGAATAGAAGTAATATTATATTGATTTTCTTAAAAAATATAAAATTTTGAATGTGACAATTATTATGCAACAATAATACTGTACTGCAAGCAACATCGGCTCCTCGGGTGCTGCAGATGTCACGACCCGAATTGCCGGATCAGACTGACATTAAATTTGGACAAATATAAAGTTTACGAAAGCCCATAATAAGTCTATATCTCACTTTATCTGTTTCATAGCCCAACTTACTTTTGGAGCGGAAACGCCCATATATCAAGGCCCAATCCATACATTCAAACCTGGCCATCCATGTTCAATTTTAAGCAATCACAATATAAGAATCCGCGCTAGCCTTTTTGTCTAGCAGCAACAATCCTACATCTAAGTTAAGCAAAATGGAGATAATAGTTATCTGTCGATCATTTTAGAGAGGAAGTGATGGAGATTATGCAATGATGCACCGTTGCCATTATTGTCACAATTAAAGATGTAGTGATGGAGATCATGCAAGAAAGTTAAGGAAGAAGTAAATCACCATTAGAGCTTACAATTATAGAAGAGTGATGCATTAAGTTACGTTTCCTACGATCACCACGTTCATTACAAGTAAAAGACTGCAACCATGGAAAAAGTGGGTGCTCTAGAACATTCAAAGAAAGATTATAAATGAACGTAATAAATGTATGATAAGTTGAACAATATCAGTGAAACAAAATAACTTTATCGCTTAGAAATTTTCTTTCCTTTACTTTACATTGCTTCATGTCTATCCGTTTATATTTGATTATCAAAATTCAACTTTTATATGAAAAATTATTTTCTTAGAAAAATAGCAGTATTACCGTGTTTGGATAATAATAAAGGTTTTCTAAGAAAAATGATAAAATGAAAAAGAACTTTACCATGCATATTGAAAAGAAGAAATAGTATTTCGATGCTCAAAAATTTAATTTTTTTCTTAGAAAAGTACCAACCAAAGTACCAAACATCTTATTGAGCAATTAGTTATTCATTAATTGGGTTTTACTACCCCCTGTATTAAAAATGAAAGTAAACAACAAAACAAAAAGGAAAATAAACGTTTTCTCTCGCTTCACGTGCTCATGTTCAGCTTGTCATGTGACCTTTTCTCCCCGTCTGAGCTTGGTGAACAGAGAAGCAAGCAAGGACTCATCTCAGGTCATCTTGTAGTCCTCCACTTCTTCGTATTCTTCTTCATTTCCCATTCTTTTGAACCAGTTTTGACTTTTCCTAATAATTGCATAGGTAGAGTAATCTTTCCCGGCCTGATCCATCTCCCCGCTCGAAACACGCTTCATTGTTCGTTGCTGCTGCTGCTACTGCAACTACTTCTTATTCTCTCTCCCTACTCTTCTGCACATGTAAAACCACAACCAATCATAAACACAATCAAATGGGCTGCTTTCAGTCGAAAACCACCCATTTAGCTTCTCCGGATCAGGAGCCCCTTCCCCCTGAACAAGCCAAGACAGATCTCGTTAATGGAGCTCTTGACCAAGACCTAGACCAAGTCCCTCCCTTCAGAGAGTTTTCTTTGGCGGAACTGCGAGCGGCTACCAGCGGTTTCAGTAGTGATTTTATAGTCTCCGAGAGCGGAGATAAGGCTCCCAATGTCGTCTACAGAGGAAAGCTCAACAACAATCGTCTTGTCGCCATCAAACGTTTTTCCAGGCTCTCCTGGCCCGACCCTCACCAGTTTGTGGTAACGTGTCATCTTATAGTTTTACTTCTTTTTCCCCGTACATATAAGTATATATGCATATTAGAATTTCTTTATGCACTTCTCTTTCTCCATAGACGGAGGCTTCCGGAGTTGGCAAAGTTCGGCATAAGAGATTGATCAATCTAATTGGGTGTTGCGCTGAGGGCGATGAACGCTTGTTGGTGGCCGAGTACATGCCTAATGACACCCTCTCCAAGCATCTCTTTCATTGTAGGTTTCCTTCTTTTTTTTTTTTTCTTCTGCTTTATGCAAGCTATTCCTTAATCAAACAATATTTATGTTGTCGTACCTATTTATTACAGGGGAAAAACAGCCATTATCATGGGAAATGCGCGTCAGAGTTGCTTACTACATTGCACAAGTACTTGATCAGTGCAATGCTCAAAACCGCAAAATTTATCATGATTTGAATGCCTACAGAGTTCTTTTTGATGAGGTACAACCGCTTCAACACCGTCTTTTTCTTTTTTCTTTTTCTTTTTTTTTTTCAAACTAAAATTAACTAACAAAGTGTATGCATTCCTCAAAACAAAATCGGATTAAGTTGCTGATCAGAAATAGTTGAAACTGGTAGTGAGCTATGTACTCCTATTCACATTGTGCAGTTCGGTGCCTGTTACTTGACTTAGCATGTCTAACATACAGAAACCATATTATTCTCATCATTCACATGCTTCCGTATTTGGCTGAATTCAGTTTTTCATTTGTACCGACACTGTCTTTTCTCTCCCTGCTATCATTTTTATGCTTTTGATTTGTGTGTCTTTCAACTGGAGGCTCGATTACTTTCTTTGGTATTAATAATGAATTTTTCTTTGCCATAAATTTCGTTGTAATGACAGGACGGCGACCCTCGATTATCTAGTTTTGGTCTGATGAAAAATAGCCGGGATGGGAAAAGCTACAGCACAAACTTGGCTTATACTCCCCCAGAATTTTTGCGAACAGGTGCATGATCTTGATTCCCATATATTTCAGTGGATTGTTTTAGCCTACGCATGGGCTTTCACTCTGATTTCAGTTAAAAACAAGGATGCTTATGTTTTCTTTTGTTTTTCATTTACTTTTTCTTTTTTCGAAAGACTAGCTTATAAGAGAGATTTTTTTTACAAAAGAACTTGAAGTGAAGCATTAAAAAAAAAAAGTGTTCAACCAATAAAAGATCAGGTAGATTGATGTGACTTTTTCTTATTGTGCTGCCTGAAGTGTGGCCAAAGGATCAGCCTTACCAATATGCATTTGATGCACCAAACATTTCACAGACCAGTGAAAAACAGAGAATATTCAACTAGAAAATCAAATTACTTGAGATGTTAGGTATCTGTAGTACGTAACCTCTTAATTCTGTTCTGGCTCTCTGCGACATATGGAGAAAATGTGCATTTGGTTTTATGAAGTTGTGAAATATTGATCAACATAAAAAATGAGCTAAGCCTCAATGATGTTGTAGAGCACTTATATCCTCATATCTCTTTCGTTAAATTAGTTGCTGAATACTGACACTAACAGTATATACTATTAGGGAAACTAGTATGGATCCAGGAAGATATGGTTAAGCATTCAGCTACTTCTTTGACAATCATCTAAAGAGATTGAGATAGGGCACTTACATCACTGTTTATGATTTGAATGCTCAACTGTTGCAGGTAGGGTCATCCCTGAGAGTGTAATCTACAGTTATGGAACTGTTCTGCTGGACCTTTTGAGTGGGAAACATATCCCTCCGAGCCATGTATGTTATATTCTACTGTATTGCTGTATTTTGAAGCAAATTGTTTCTGCAAAGGCATCGTGAGACCTGAATGTCAAAATGTTTTAGCATTTCTAAGATAGTTTTGGTGTACATAATAGATAGGCAGACTTCGTAGGCTTAAAATATCTAGCACCAAAAGCTCGTGCCTCCTAGTTAATGCTGATACGCAACGACCTTGATTTTATTAACTGTAACTTGTCTTGTGTAATATTAGTCTAGGACTTCTAATAATCTTGTCAAATGATTGCTTTTTCTCTAGGCATTGGACTTGATAAGGGGGAAGAATTTGTCGTTATTAATGGATTCGTCCTTGGAAGGACAATATGCAAATGAAGATGCAAGTGAGATGGTGGAACTAGCTTCGAAATGCCTACAGTATGAGGCTAAAGATCGACCTGATGTCAAGTTTCTTCTCTCGGCTGTGGCACCCCTTCAGAAACAGAAAGAGGTGAACTTTTAAACCTTTTGAATTCCAGCTTGGTCATTTAGCTGTTTCTGATGAGATACACCACTTGCATCATAGAACATGTTCAAATTTGTGTCCTTAGGTTGCGTCGCATGTGTTAATGGGTCTTTCAAAACTTCCTGTGGTGCTGCCGACCATGCTTTCCTCACTTGGAAAGGCTTGTGCAAGAATGGATCTTACAGCGGTACACGATATCTTGCTTAAAACAGGCTATAAAGATGAAGAAGGTGCAGAAAATGAGGTGGGTTTCAGGTGCTACTTTATTTTTATTGCTTCACAATTTGGTCATCATTAAGTAGAAATCAGCAAAAGCCTAGACAATTGGCTATAATGGTCAAACTCTATAATAAACTAATGTGCTGCAAATGTGTTCTCTCTGAAGCTGTCATTTCAAGAATGGACTCAACAAGTGCAAGATATGTTAAATACAAAAAAATTTGGGGATATTGCTTTTAGAGACAAGGATTTTAAAAATGCCGTTGATTATTATACAAAGGTATGTGACTTCCTGCCAAAATGACGTATATACTGAGTTATGGAATCTTTTAGTTTATTGTGTGTACACGTACAATGCAGGAAGCTTGAAGTAGTGAGATGTATGTATTGTATGTATATTCTATAAATAAAACTTTCTAAAGCTGGATATTAGGCGATCGATTTGGTGGCATGCTGTTTGGCTTAAAACAATCTGTTGATCTGGATGACTTAATTACTTCAAAAATCCCAACCTTTAGCTTGTTTTTCAATTGTAGCATAATCTTTATTTTTAACAAAAAAAAAAAAAAAAAAATGAGTTTTATGGAATCTCTTTTAGTTTATTGTGTGTACACGTTACAATGCGGAAAGCTTGAAAGTAGTGAGATGTATGTACTGTATGTATATATCTATAAATAAAAAACTTTCTAAAGCTGCGATATTAGCTTCGATCGATTTTGGCTGGTCCCATGCTGTTTGGGCTTGAAAATCAATCTGTTGATCTGGGATGACTTAATACTTCAAAAATCCCAACCTTTAGCTTGTTTTTCAATTGTAGCACATAATCTTTATTTTTAACAAAAAAAAAAGAAAAAAAAAACTAATTTAATTAAATTAATTTGCAGAGTGTTAGCCTCCCAATTCCATTTTCAGTTAATTCAAACAATAATTGCTATATATGTTATATTATATATATATTATATTTTGAAGAAATTAATTCCCGGAGATTTTCAAAACCGTGCCAGTTCTAGCAGCAGATATGATAAATGCATTGTATAATCCAAAATTCCACTCGGGCGATGGCAAACGGGGTGGGTTTTCCCATTAGGGAATTCTTTTTTCCTTTTTTTATTCTTTTTTTCAATGTATTCTTTAAATAAAACTTTATTTTATTTTAAAAAAAATTAAATTATACGTTACAAATGTAAAGTTCTAATTATAATTTTAAAAAAAAAAAAAAAAATATATCATAGTATACTATAATATTATAGTATATATTTTAATTATAATATTTATGAAACTTAAATATGGTAAAAATAAATTTAATTTTTTCGCTAAAAAATAATGATATATTATTGTTGTGGTGGTTTACGCCGGATTTGGAGGGAAGGGGGGAGAAGGTCTCCCCGTTTCTGCCATGCATGATGTTGCGGTTGAGGTGGAAGGACCGAGAAAATGGTCGGCGCATTGGGGCGTGGTTTTTCGGAAGACAATCTAAGTAATAAACACAATAAACCCTCATACTCGGGAAAAGCTATTTTTTTTTTGGAAATGAAAGAAAGACCGACAAGACTCGACAATACCGTCCACACACACGACGGTATAAAAGTAGCCCACAGTATCAACCTTCTCTCGTAGACAAAGAACCCATTAGAAGTCAACAAAAAACTTAACATCATATATCTTTTCGACATACCAAGCTTGAGCTGTGTTAAACGAACCATAAAAGTGCTTAGTGAAGTTTTCTTGTAAACCATGATATTGATTATTTATTACTTCCAAATCCGGGATAGCAGAGGTTAGGCCCAGTCGGTAAGGCAGGTGGCTTCGTTATTGCTAACATTACACTCTATTCAATTTTAGAAGACACCATTTAGGAAAGTACTTTTTCACACTCCAATCTCGAAGTCTAACAACCATGCAAAGGGCCTGGTGTGTGTTAATTTCAATTTAAAATTTCCCAATTTGTGGGTTCCCATTCTGTGGCCGGTGGGGGGGGTTTAATAACTAGTGTACTCATTAAAGGAAAACTTTTTAATGTCTTTTTCAAGCAGGGGGGGAGTTTAGTCAACTTCAATTTATTTTTTAAATATTAAAAAAACCACTAAAAGAAATGGTGATTTCTTTTTTTATATAATCTATATAATTTCGTGTTATTAATATTATTTTTTTAATTGGGGGGAAATCAATAAATATTACATTTAAAGGGGCGGGGGAAACGGAACCGGTTTTATTGGCGGCGTGGCGGGGGGGATTTTATGCGTCCTCATATATTTATTTTTGGTTTTTTTTTGTGTTTTCCTCTTTTTTTTCCTCAATTATGGGAGCTACATTCTTTATATTATTGCCCACCTACAAAAGGAACCCATTTTTTTAAAAAAAGAAATAAATTAAAGGAATGCAATCCAACACCAAAACAATACGGATAAAAGGGCGTGGGTTGGACTATGTGTGCTAAGCCATAAAGATAACATAATTTAAAAGATGCTTCGCGGGGGAGGGGTTATTTTTTTCTTATAGAGCCTGCTGTCTTCAGAATTAGTAAAAACCAGCCATTTATGTTCGAGGTCTGAATATGTGGAAAGGTATTATAACGAATCTATAAAATAGCTATAGGGGGAAATTTTTACTTTAAACTATTAATCACGTACACACTTTAATATATATTGTTTTATGTCAATAAAATCTTAACCCATATAAACAAGGGGTTGATTCGCGGCAATGACCTGGAGCAGGATTACTCGGGATACACGTTATTTATGTGGAAATCTAATTTATATGAAGTCGACCGTCCTCGTTAGGCAAATTATCCTATATGGTTCTGGTTTCATCGTTCTAATTCCCTAAACCTCTCCCACCTTTCCTAATCTCCCTTTTTGGAAAAATGGCCATTGTCTTGTAGAAATTTGGAGGACCACCACACGGGAGATTGGCAGATTTAATAAAATTGTCCCATGTGGTTACTAGCATACTCTTTTGTTTTGGGACCACCATGAAATAGCCGGATTTCATTACAATGACTCAAATACGTGGAAGTTGTTTGGGCGTTCGGATATTGAATTATGTCCTTACATTTTAGGGTCATTTATTTCTAGTCATCTGTGTGCTTTCATGTATGTTGATAAAGATATGGTTTATAAAATACCAATTTTTTGAGTTTGGAGTAAGCGGACCCGAACCCTAAATGTATAGGGTTCCTTGTGTAATTCATTGTGCTAACCTCTGTCTCTTGGAACACCGCATAGTTACTTGTATAAGGCAATATTCCATCTTTCCAAATTTGCTAAAGAGGGGCTCTTGGTGTCTTTATTAGATGATCTGTCTTCACCCTTTCCGAGTACTGTGTGTGCGAAGGCAGAAGACCCTCTACAACGACTTTGACTGATGACGGGCCCAAAGGGGCAGAACTTGGCAGCTGGAAGAGATATATGCCATTGCAGGGGGCTTCCAGGTGTCTAATGGCACTGGACAGTGGGCCCAACAGAACCCTCTTCTATATGAAAGCCCGTCGGCCACTCCTCCCATACGCTTTAGGAATGGAATGCTGAATGCACATCAAGGAGATCCTAATGCTCCAATGATGGTAGCCCTCCACTTTATTGAGGGCATAAGTAGCCAGAGCAAGCTGAGGGGCGGCCCCTCGCATATTTAGGGAAATTAGTTATTTAACTACCACTAATAGAGATCCAAGAAGGCTTTGCTCGCCTCCGACAAAGATGGAGGGAGAAAAACATTAACCGAAGTCAAGTAAAAATCAACATTCCTTTCCATCTCCTATGATCCATCTAAAGAAAACTAAGGAGAACGGCGATATGAGCTCTGTATGACGGGGATTATTTTTAAGAGTTCAGTTGCCCAAATCACCATCCCTACGCAATATACCCTTAACAAACTTTCTTAGTTAAATTTTTAACGACACATTTTGGACGAAACAGCAAAAAATTAGGGATAATAATTGTGCCTATAAATACCAAGGACATTACCTCAAATTCCCATTACTGGGAAGAATACATAAATAAATAGGAGTGCGGGGAAATTACTGCAAAAAATAACTCGGTTGATATACTTCCTATGTAAAAATGTTATATGAAATTAATTAGCTAAGGTCATAAAGCTTATATCTATAAAATTCTAAAGTGATAAATAAATACTTAGCAGATTATAGACTGTTTCGCTAGGTGCGTACATTAAAAAAGAAAAAACCAAGGAACGGAAAAGGAACATATTATTTTATAACGGGTTTATTAATTACCAAAACATTTATTTTCTCTTAATAATTTTTCCTTTGTTTTCGGATACTTCTTTTTCTCGTTTTTTTCCATATCTCTTTAATACAAATCCCGCGATCAGCTAATTCGTCTAATAAATAAGATATTGGTGCAAACTAGGCTGCTGTCCTTTTTCTATTTAGAATATTAACCAAAACATAAAACTGTGAAATGAGAGGGGGATAGATAATTGAAGATATTTAGGTAGCTGGCTTGTATGTTCTTTTCGTTCTTGGGTAAAGGGGCTGGACCTTTTTTTCTTATTCTTGGAAACCAAACCGAATTTGTGGTGGAATATAGTATTTTTGGGTATCGTGTGTGTGTGTTACGAAGAATCATGAAATTAGTGTTTGCCAGTAATTTGAGTTTTTTTTAGGCAATGGTGGTTGTATGGATTAAATATCAATTCATCTTGCATCGGAGGCGTTCTTGTCTTGTGGCAGGAAAATAAAGCAACATAGAACAAGGGTTGGGAGGAAGCTTTCTTTATTTTTTTTTTTTCTTCAGGGAATTTGGAATGGGTGGGCTAGAGTGTAAAGAAAATATTCTTATTTAATAATTTTCAAGAAATATTAATTCCAGGCCCACCAACCACCCGAAAGCATAGGTTGCATGCCACCCACATATGAAACTATAATACAATTTATATATTTGAGTGGTATTTCTTGTTCTATATTAGTTAGTAATTAACACAATATTGCGAATAAATAATATAATTATTTTAAAATAAACACGAATGTACTCTTAATTTTTATTTTAATTATCCAAAAATAGTTTCAAAAGGATTTGAAACCGAGAGGATCGGAAAATCTTTTAAAAATAATTATTATCAAAGATAAACTCTCTCAAGGTGAATATAATTTTTAACAATCTTTCATAATAGAGGAGCACAAGGAATTTTATTTGAAGATGCGAAGCAGTGTTTTTGCTACTGAAGTGCACTCCCTTTCACTTGAGTAAAATATAAGGAGAATGTGATATTTCCCGTAATTCAATTTGTAACAATATGTTTTGTAATAAGGCGGGCGGGACCTAAAGAAAAAGGAATAAACATTAAAAGTAATAGTGGCGGGAAATTTAGTGGATGTAAAGATGGTGTGTAGTAGTTTAACACCTGGTGGAATATTGAATTTTTAAAAGCAATTTAGAAAAGGTATTTATTATTGACCAGAAATCATTATAATCTTCTTCCTATGTCTTATTTTTGTTTTTTCACTTGTA